AGGGAGGTGGCTGGTGGTAGGACTGGTTCTGCTAACTCTGAGTGGGTCCAGTGTGTGGTGTGTGTACATCTGGCCCAGATGTTTGCAGCTCTCCTTGGAACATGGAGCATTGAGTACCTGTTGCTGCCAGCTCTGAGGGACAGCCCGACTCCCACTCTGCTCCCTGCTGCCCGAGAAGTGGTCGGGCCAAGGCTTGAACCGAGGCCTCTCCTCCAGGCCTGTCCTAGCACCATGTTAGTTTGCCGTTATAATGGGGGTTTCACGTGGGGCGGGACCCTGACACCTGAGTGTGAGGTATTGTGCTGCCCTCCACCACCAGGCTGTGGAGCAGGGGCTTCTGTGCCAGAGCGGCACCTGGGCCAGCAGGTCCGCCTGTGGAGGTGGTGTGGCGGGTCATGGGGTGGCGGTGGGCTTGGTGACACCCAGGCGGTCGAATCTCCCCACTGTTATCTCTCAGATTCCTGGGTCTGGGCCTCAGACCCCTGGGTTCCTGAGTTGGCTGAATGGGATAGGCTCAGCTCCTCCCTGGTTCAGTCTTCTCTTGAGCCCTCTGACAGGCGCCTGCCACTCAAGTGGGGTGGTTTCAGGAGGGAAAGGAGAAGTGAACCCTGTCGATGGAGGAGGGGGGGTGGGGGAGGCGGTGACAAATGGATGCTGGCGCAGGAGCTAGGACTCCGCCACGCCTTAGAGGGCAACTGGGAAGCTGCAAGGGGATGGTTGTGGGGGTCAGGGCTCATGGCAGGGGCTGGGGGCTCATGATTGGTGTTGGAACTCATTGTGGGTGCCTGGGGGTCATGATGGGGCCTGGGGTCATGGTGGGTGTTGGAGCTAACCGTGGGGGCCTGGGGTCATGGTGGGGCCCTGGGGCTCACGGCGCTCCAGGGAAGGCCTGTGGTGCAGGAGGCAGCAGTGGGAGTGGAAGGAGTAGGGACCCAGTGAGCAGAGCTGGGTTCGAATCCTGGCCTGGTCCCCAGTGTGGCTCCCACAGCCAGTACTGCCCTCCCTGAGGCAGTACCGTCTTCCTTCACCAGGAAAAGGGCAACACGGTGCTCAGCCCCCGGTGGGAGCAGGTGAAGGTGACACTGTCTGGGCCGTGTCCCCCCTCTTTTCCCTTGGTTGGGGGCTCTTTCCAGGTCTCCGCACAGCAGGAACCCAGGCTCCTGCCCGACTCCAACCGCAGTCCTGAGGGTCGGGCCCCAGCCCTGGCTCTGCCTTTACCAACCCACCGTGTCATCAAATCAACTTTTACCTCCACGCTGCAGCTTTACGTTTATAAATGCAGTGACACGTGGCCTCCCCTTAGGGAAAGTGTGGTGGTCAGCTCCTCACAGCTGTAGCTCCTGAAACCTGGAGCTGCACAGGTTGGGAGATACAGCAGATGAGCCCCCTGGGCCTGGGAAATCATGGTGACTTGTGCCAGGTCACCAGCCAGGTGTGCAGAGCAGGGACAGAGCCCGCACCTCTGAGCCTGTGCTTGCCGCTCACACCGCACCCGTCTCGAAATGCATCACAGTCCTGAACCCTGCTGGTAGGGAACTGGGAGGCAGCTGAAAATCTAACCTGGGGGCCCTTGTCCAGCCTACTCACAGGGAAAGGGAGGCGGGTGACCACCCTTAGGAATGGGTGGGTGTCTCTGCTGATTTAATCACAAAGCGTTTACGGAATACCTGTGTGTGCCAGGCCCCGAGCTGGGTGTTGTGAAGCCTTTAGGCCTCTTGTGATTATGAGGAAGTGAGACGTTTAGGAAACACAGCCTTTGCCGGTCTCCTAGTACCTGACGTCATAGCTGGGACCGCACAGTCACATGGGTAGGAATAGGCTTGGCCTCGCCTCTACGCCGCACACCCTGGCCTGGCCCCTGGCACTGGCTCCTTTTGGTCACTCAGTGGGCTCACAGCCACTAGAGCTGCATGTATGTACATGTGTGCCTGTGTGCATGCCTGCGTGTGTGTACCTGTGAGCACCTGTGTGTATGCCTCTGTAAACCCCCATGTACGTGACTGTGTGTGTGCCTCTGATCACCCATGTGAGCACGTGTGTACACGTGTGTGTGAGTGCAGGAAAAGTTTCCTTATTAGCATTCAGTCTGCCATCCACCACCAGCTACCTCAGGAAGTAGGTTCCTAATTTTACTCCTGTATGAATCTCTTCTAGGATACATGTTTAAAAAAGAACCGATGGCTTTTGCTGTTTGAATGTAAGTCAAGTCTATTTGCCCTGGTTTGTTCACGGCAGCTTCCTGGGGTCCCGACCAGCATCAGGATGGACGAGTGGTGCTTGGGGCAAGGCTGGTTCACTCCCGTCTCCACCCCTTGGGGCCACGCCGCGCAACTGTAACCCTTCCTCCCAGGACAGCCAGCCTGTCACAGAGTCGATGGCATCTGTTGTGTCCTGTCCGAGCCGCCTCTGCTTGGCGGGGGGCATTCTCGGTTCCTCCTGTTGTTTCTGATGATCTGGGTTTGTCCCTCACCATCTGGTCCCTGTCCTCAGAGACCATGCCCAGTGTCCACAGTGAGCTGGTGGCAGCTCCCGGGGCAGAGCAGAGGGCAGTTTCTGTCACCACGTTGCTTCCTCTCGAGGAGGTGGGATGGCAGTCCTCTTGGGCAGGATACAAGGAGCATCGTCTAACACTGTCTTTGCCTGCTTGGGCCGCCATGATGGAATATGATGGATGGGCGGCTTAGACAACAGATGGAGGGTTCTCACAGTCCTGGAGGTTAGAAGCCTGAGATCAGGGTGTCAGCATGGCCGGGCTCTGGTGCGAGCCCTCTTCCTCTTTGCAGAGGACACTTCTCCTTGTGTCCTCATGTGGTGCAGAGAAGGGAGGGTGGGGGAGAGGGACGGCTCTGTGGGGTTCCTTTTATAAGGGCACTGATCCCATGCATAAGGGCTGCACCCTCAGGACTTAATTGCTTTCTAATGGTATCACCTGCTAACACAGTCACCCTGGGGGTTAGGATTTCAACATAGGAATTTGGGGGACACAAACATTCAGTCCATAACAAATAGTGAACTTCTCCCAGCAAGGGCACAAGCTCCAGGAAACCTCATAATTCTCCTCATTTCTGAGGCAGAAAGTTATTTTGTGTTTGGGGAGGGGAGGAACAGAGGCATTTTCACTGCTAACTTATTTTGTAGTTTTTGTATAACTTGCCAACAGGATTGTGTACGCTGCTGAGACACGACACACTGCACAGTGCCCTTCTTTCGTGGAGCCTTTGGGCCTGGCTGGCTAGTGACCCCCCGCTAAGCATCCTTGGCTGTGACATTTCCTCCATGTGTAACGTGTTAACCTTATGTAAGCTCATTTGGAACAGTCGTGGGCCTTGGCTGGTAAACTGACCTGCAGATGTGGCAGGAGCAGCTTAGAAACATAATGATGATAACAGTGCCTTGTGTGGCCACAGCCCTGACACCAGAGAGGGAGAATCCTGCCAGGAGGCTTATAGTCTCCACCTGGGCCAGGGAGCGGGCAGGTGCCTCCCCACGAGTCAGCGGGATGGCGGGGGCAGGACTGTGCCCCTGTGACTGGGCTGTTCCTGGGGACTGCTGGACCCTCGTCCTCTACCTGCCCTGACAGGAGGGCCAATGCCCACTTAGAAGCGAGGCTGCAGCAATACCTGCTGGGCCTCATGGGGCGGTGGACACAGGCTCCCCTGTGGGAAGGCGTTTCATGTCATAGGGTTTTCAGAGTAGAAGGCTCCTAAGTGACCATTTTCTCTAAGCCTTCCCTGAGGCCCAGAAAGGTAGTCGATCAGGGGTGCAGGTTCGTGGCCACGTGGCTAGCCATGCCCCGCATCTAGACGCTCAGGTGACAAGAGAGAACATGGAAAAGCAGGGAAACTGAGGACAGGGTTCTGTGTTGACTTTGGGAGACTTTGGAAGGAGGGGCGCTATGCAGGGCCCCCCTGCCCTCTCAGGCTGCCTGCTGCCCGACCTCATTGTGGGCCCAGCCGGGGCGGCCTGGCAGGTTGGAGCACAGTTCAGGTAACGAGGCTAGGAGGCTCTCACGAGCCCATGGAAGGTGGAGGAGAGAGAGAACTTGAAACTGGGAGAGGGGCCCATCAGGAAGGGAGGAAGCCAGGGGCGTTGCCTTCACAGGTGAGGCCTCTGTCCCTTCACCATTTCCTGAATGGGCCCTGCCTTCATGGGGTCCCAGTCTGACTGCGGGGGTGAGACACACTTACACATATACACATGTGTGCACATGCATGCACACACACACTTGAGGAAGAGGGCTCTCGGGACAGGCTGAGGGTCTGTCCCTCAGGGACTCGTCCTCTTCCAGAGGACAGACAGTGTCATTGTGGGCCCCAAGGTCACACGCGAAGAAGCGCATCTTAAGTGATGGGGGCTCCGTGTCCCAAGAGGTAGCATGAAGCCAGGAAGGGAGCAGGACTCGCTCCATGAACCACGCACTTGCCAAGTTCAAAGACAGGAGGTAACAGGGCGAAGACCTGACCTGGGAACCCAGGCCCCTGCGTGGGGGCCCCTCACACCTGGACACAGAGCTCGCCTTGCCTTGAGGCTGCTGCACCCAGAGTTGTATAGCAGAGACCGCGTACCCCTTCTCTGTCATGGGCCCCAAGGGTTAAGAACATGGCAGTCTCTGCAGAGACCTCGTGCTTTCTCAGAGAGCTGGCCTGAGGTGCTGAGCAGGAGCTGTCCCTCGCTTTTCCTCAGGGGTTGCTGCACAAAGGGAGGGATCCCCACTTGGGTTCCAGCGACTCTCGTGTCACCCTGCCCTGGCGAAGAATGGCACTCAGCATGCGGAGACACAGACCGAAGTAGCTGACTAATGACTGTCACCGGGACGCTGCGCCCTTGGGTTTGCGAAACTTCCCCAATCTGTCAGGAAGTGGGCAACTCAGAGGCACCACAGGATCACATAGCAAACGTCAGTGGCTCCTCGCTTTCTGTGTGTGAAGGTTCCTTGTATGGCCAAGAAAGCGTCCATGCTTATAGTTTGGTAGTTGTGCACATAGAGAAATGCTTTGAGAACCTACACAGGATGAATGGCAGCACGGACTTCTGTGTCTGTGAGGTGCCAGGCGTGGTCTAAGTGCGCCACATACCCAGTTCACCTCATCTTCACAAACCCCCATGAGGTAGGCACCATTATTTACCTCACTTTGCAGATGAGGGACTTGAGGCACAGAGAGGTTAGGCGACGTTTCCAGGGTCACACAGCTCATCATCGGTGGAGCCAGGAGTTAAGTCCAGGTGAGCCGGATCCACAGGCCACAATCTTAACCCACTCTAGATGTCTCTGTGCCGTGGGTGGGCACAGCTGTGGCCTGTGTACAGTGGAATACCGGGCCTCGGTGACAATGCAGGACCTTGAGCTGTGTGTTTCATCATCCACACATGGCAAACATGTCAGGATGGGTGAGCAAACAAGTTGCAAAAGGGTATGGAAGGTGTTTGCACATTCAAATGGAGACATACTGGTTTCTTTTTTTTGTTTATGTTGCCCAATGTCCTCCTTTTTGAAAGCTTTTTTACTAATTGTAGTGAAATGTGCTGCGCGTCACCTGATCTCTTGGGACAGCTCTTTTTGTTTCACTTATCTTCCCCACCCCCTTTCCCTTTGGCAACCATCAGCTTGTTTCGTGTATCTATGGGTCTGTTTTTGTTTTGTTCATTTTTTTTTTAAATTCCACGTATAAGTGAAACCATACAGTATTTGCCTTTCTCTGACTTAGCATAATGTCTTCTGGGTCCATTCATGTTGTCGCAAATGGTAAGATTTCATTCTTTTTTATGGCTGAGTAATATTCCTTTGTTTATATGTACCCCATGTTCCTTATCCATCCTTCTGTCTGTGGTCACCCTGGCTGCCTTCACATCTTGGCCACTGTAAATAACGTGCTGCTTTCATTATGCTTGGCACAGTTTCAGATCTGCTCTGTTACCCTCAGCCCACAGGCCGAGCCTCAGCACATGGGGTGAGGGGTCCAGCTTTGGGGTCCGGAGCCTGCTAAGGTGGGTGGATTGTAAAGTGTCTACAGGACAGCACTTCAGGGAGTGATGGCACAGAAGTGAGGGTGTGGAGACATGGGCTGTGTTTTGTGGGGGGGGGATTTGTAAAGCAGAATGGCTACATAGAGACGTTCTGAATAAAGTCCAAGCCTGGACGCACAGGGCTTCATTTACTTGTCACAGATGCTGCTTCTGGGAACAGAAGAGGTTCCTTTTGTTAGCTTGCTGAATGCACAAGGGACACTGTCATACCCACAAAGAATAGCGTGGGCTGCTTCTGCTAGAAGCAGCCAACATGACATGAGAAAAAAGGACTGTGGGACAGGGAATACCAACATGAGTTAGTAGGAGAAAAACAGGCAGGCAGGAGTTCAAGGGTGGGAACAGAGCCGGTGACATCCAGGGACTGTGATTTGTAAGGGGAGGGGGGCAGAGGTCAGCAGCTGCTTCTAGATCCTTCTGCTCAAGTACGTCACATACCGATCCCTGGCCTTTCTGCGTCATCTGAAAGGTGGTGTGAAGGGTCTGGGGTCATTGAGGGCTCTGAGCTGGCCCACAGTGGGGGGAGGGGGCCCAGACCCTCACAGGAGGGAGCAGAGGGGGGAACCAGCAGGCCCTCCAGCCTCCCCCTCGGGCCTCCCTGGCGCTCCATCTGAAACAGGAATGTGGCTTTCCCAAACCTGAACTACATCTTAGGAAAGTCACCTGGCTTTCCTCTCATTGGCTTTAGTCCTCTAAGTAGGGCTTTTAAAGCAGTAGATACGATGCTGAGACCAAAAGGGGTCTGTGATCTGGGGGCCAATGCCTTATCTCCACGAGATGACAGGAGTTTCTGGTGGAAGCTGCTGCTTTTCTCTGCTCTCACCTTCAGTCTTGCCCATATTCCTCTCCCACCCCTTCACCACCATAGGGGACTCTGGGACAATCCCGGTGTCTTCACAGGCGGTGTAGATGAGGCGGGAGGGGAAAGGGGCGGAGCCTGGACCGCCCTTCACTCACTTCCTTTCCTGACCAAGTTTCCCCAAGAAGCAGCTGGGCCTCTCCCTCTACTTCAGGGTTCCAGCCCGACCTCACTATCCCCTAGGCTCCCCGTCAAGGAGTGGGCTGCCTCCCCCCACCTGCCCATACCTCACACCTCCTTACACTTCGCCCATGCCTCCCCACACCCCCACACGCCCCCACGCCTCCCCACACCCCCACGCCTCCCCACACCCCCACACCTCCCCACACCACCTCACACATCTGCTCTCCTGATACCACTGGTGTGTCTTGAGTCTGGTTGTGAGTTTCTTGGGGTCAGGGACCAGCTTTTCCTTATTTTCACAATTCTTGAGTCCAAACGTAGTGCTCATTGTCAGTTGAACGTTTGTGAACACCACCAATCTGAATGTGATGATCCTGGAACCCTCCTCTCCTGGCGTCCTTTGTCCCCTCGGCACTCACACTGTCCCTGCCTTCCTCTCCGATTTTGTGGACCTGGCTGTGTGCCGAGTGGCAGAGCCTGTGCTGTCAGTAGTGCTGTAAAACATGAAGCGGTAATTAATATCTGTCTGCCTCCCTCTCAGAAGCCGGCTCCTCCTCCTAGCCGGGCTCCTGGTGGGGTCAGTGGGAGCCAGTGCAGACTGTAGGAGGCGGGCAGCCCCATAAGAGCTCCCCAGGCCTGAGCCCAGGAGGTTCAGCTCCAACTCTAATCAGTCTTCAGTGAAGTTTCTTGGAGCACAGATGGCGGTGGGGTGGGTATGAGAGTTTGGGTTTATTTTGTTTGAAAACTTGGTCCAGACGTTTATGCACTTTAATTAGTGAGGACAGATGTTATATGCTGTAATTATATATATATATATATATATATATGTGTGTGTGTGTGTGTGTGTGTGTGTGTATCATTTTACATATGCCAGAAAGTGAAATACAACTTTGAGGAACTTAAGTGTAAGGAGCAGCTTGAGGGATAAAGGGAGTGTTTCCGAGCACAGCTCGAATGGGCTCAGTTGAATTCAAGACCTAGACTTGCCACAGATCATCAGGATTGGCTAGAACCTTTATAACTCACCGTCCAGGCTTTCATCTTCGTGTTGTTACCACCGTTTAGCTTAGAGAGGATCAAGTGATTTATTTAGTACCAGCCTTTATCTGGGCTGATTCTTCCTCCATGCAGGGATGTGGACCTAATGGTGATGTGAAGTTGAATCTTGCAGGGTTTCCTCTTCTGTTATTGCTCAAGTCATTCTCGGGGTGGGGGCTCTGGGTCCCTTTTGGGGTCCCTAACCCTATGGACCCCTCGTGCTCAGTGCGGTGCTTGACTGGAGTCTCTGTTCACGGGGTAAAGGCTCAGTAAGATTTTGAAGTTTTCTTGCTTCTTGTTTTCTGTGGGGGTGGTTGTTATTCTTAGTCCTTGTTACTGCTGTTGAGGCTGCAATAAACATTCCGTCTGTCCTCAAACTCTGCTCTCTGGGATACTCACTGGGAAGACCTAAAGCGGCCAAATAAGTTTGGGCCGCTGCTTACACCACATGTTTTGCTTAGAGATTTACGACGTTAGCCTTCTAAAGGCTCTGGGAATTCCTGCAGGGAGGAAAACTGTTTCGCCCTGCAGTTCCAGATATGTTTGATCACGTGACACTGACTTCCAGTCACATTAATCCCCAATTCCATGGGGACACCTGGAGAAGCCCTGCCTCCACATAATTTCTTACAAGTGGAACGGTTGGGGCAAAGCATATGATTGTTCATAAGGTGTGAACACTGGACCAGATATTTGACCGTCCTGACTGGGACTCCTGTTCGTCACCGTATGTCCCTGGAAGAATGTCCTGGGGCCCAGGCTGGCCTTAGAGGTCGTCCTGCTACACCTGACTTCATTCAGTCCATCCACCACCAAACCTGTGTGGATGGAGCTGCCGGGGCCAGGGGCCGTGGGAAGTCAGGGAGTGTCTCGTTTCATTTATAAAGGAGGATGGTGGGTAGGGGTGGGCGGCACTTCCAGGTGGGAGCGTCACCAGCGTTTGCAGCTCTTGGCTGGCTGGGTTTGTCATTCTGCAGGTCCCAGGTTTTGAAGACCCAATGCTGGCGGAGTAGTGGGAGTGAGCTGGGAGCTGATTAGCCTTCAGTTGACCCAGACCCACTCACACGCTCTCGCGCTGACATCGGGTGGCCAGCAGCTGCCTATGGGAGCTGGGGCAGCGTGTGGCCAAGGAGCACAGAAGAGCTGACGTCACCACGAGGCTGAGCCCGCGACCTGCGGGTCAGCTGCTTGTGCGCTGCCCAGCTGTGGCTGGCGCCTTCCGGTGGGCACCTCCTCCGGCCGTTTCCTCTGTCCACGTCTTACCTCACCACTAGGACTACGAGCCCGTTGAAGGCAGGACTGGCCATGTTTTTCTTTCATCCCTGACAGCACTTTGCACAGAGCTGAGCCCGTAGGTGGGGGGCACTGTCCCGTGGAGAGCCCATGGGTGGTGCTGGCGATGCTGCCATAGGCCTCCGCGTGTGAGAGTAAACGGAGTGATGGCGAAAGTCACCTGTCACTGAGTAAGCCCCATTAAGTGTGGCAAAATATTAAAACAACTTTTGCATATTTCCTTGACAAGGTTGAACACTTTTTTAAATAAAGTAGTTTGTTCTCCTCACTTTGATACCTGTGAGGAATTCTCCCGGTTATTAAAAGTGAGATCCCCAAGCTCTGTTCAGTAGGAGAGCATTTTTTCTGAGAGCTTTGGTCTACGGTACATGAAACAGTAATATGTTTGTAACAGCACTTTGCAGTCGTGTATTGGTCTACAGCTCGCTCCCGAGAGAGGCTGATTGGTAACCTTTCTCCTCCTCATGGGCCGCACAGAAATATAAAGGTGATGTGACTAAAACCCCGTGGGAGGCTGGCAGAGGAGAACGCAGGACTCCTGTCAGTGAGGGCACTGCACTCATGCCATCGTAATACCAGGTATTTTAACTTATTTATGATGTAACTTCCTGCTTCCGGAAAGGATTTCGGACAGAGACAAAACTCAAGTCAGAAACCAACGAATTCTCCCGTCAGTTTGGAATGCTCGCCTGTGAAGCTCTGAAAATGATTTTTTAAAAGGGGGACTTAAGTTTTAACAGGGCAGATTTGCTCATTATAAAGTCTGTAGGAACCTTCCTCTCCTGCAGGCAGTGAGTCTGTGGCTTAGGGTCCTGAGGCGTGAGAGTGTGTGTGAGAGGCTGTCCGTGGACTTCCAGCTGCCCGGTCTCTGCTCTCAGCACCATCCTGCCTGTTTGGTGTCATCCGATTATTGTGGTCACCCGTTTCAGTGTGTTTTATATGAATGATTGCAAAGTTATCGAGGAATATTAGGTGAGGCGGTTTTGTTCCTTTAGATCAGCATTTCTCAAGAGGTGGTCCTTGGGCCGGCTGCCAATCACACGGTGGGGAGCTTTTTAACATGCACATTCCTGGGCCCTGTCCCAGCCAGACCCACAGGCTTGGTGTCTCTGGGGTTTACCTCTTTTAACAAGGTGCCCATGTTAGCCTGAGACGCATACTGATGGGCCTCAGAAAAATGCCTCTGAAAGGCTCCCAAGGGAAGTGTCGCTCTTGTCACGTATGTTGTGCCTCCTGGGAATGGGCCCATAAGCGTCGCACAGAAGGTCCCTGCCCCGTGTGACAGATGCATCAGCACACTTGGCCAGGCACTTGCGATCTACCAGGTGATTTCCTGGGGTTACTTTCCAGTGTCCCTGGAGGAAACTGATATCTCACTGCTTCCTCCTCAGGCAAGGGGGCACCGATGCCTGACCCCCATGTGCCCCCCTGGGTCCCAGAGCAGCCTGTGCCCTGCTCCGCTCCCCTGGAACCAGGCTTCTGCTCCCCACCCCCGTTGTTCCTTCAGTCCTTACATCTCTGGTAATTCCACCTCTAGCAATGTGTCTCTCCTGTTAGATATTTGCAGGCTGAGCAAATCCTGAGTTCCATGAGAGCTGGGGGCGGGGGAGGGCGGGGGTGTGTGGGTGTGCGCAGCCGGGGGGTTAGTGAGGAGACTGGGACCAGGGCCAGGAGCTGGACGCGTGTTGGAGGGACACGTTTAGGAACTCCATGCAGGAGGCTCTGCTAGGAAGCCCCGGGTGCAGGTCTTCTCATGCTTCACCAGATCATCTCTGAAAAAAACGTCCTCTTCTCCGCTCTCCCATCCCTTTCTTCTCCCAGTGCTGCCCCCCAACCCCAGGGACCTAGGATGGTGAATGCATGAGCACAAGCACTGCTCTCTGTGTGCCCCCCAGCCAGCCCCCTGACCCCCGTGATCCGCCCAGGCTCGCCTCCCAAGCTCCCCACTCCCTGGGAAGAGGAGCCTGTCAGTTGGGGCGGGAGCTGGAGCCCACACCTGCTTCCGCTCCCCTTCACCCTGTAGTAGGCTCCCCAGACTGGCGCTGTGTCTGCACAGACACGTTAGAGGCTGTGCTGGCTGCTCAAGACCTGGAGGAACCCAGCACACAGCGTTTCTCCTGCACCTATTGAGTGTGACGTGTCCATAGTCCAGAGACATGCATGCGCTGCACAGCTTGAGGCCCGGGAGATGGACACTTATAGTCAAACTCCATTATTTTGGTGCCAGTGAAACTTCTAATGAAGTGTGAGGGTGGACGGTTTATCTCTAGGGGAAGTATGGGCTCAAATACAAATCCTAAAATCAGAGAAGACCAGTAATACCTTTACTTTTTTTTTTTAAAGATTTTTATTGGGGAATTGGGGGGATGGGAACAGTGCTGGGGAATTGGGGGAAGGGGGACCGAAAAATTTGCGTCCGTTTGTTCCTCAAGTCTAGTTGTGGAGGACGTTGCTTCACTGGACCAAGTTGGCACCATCATTGCGCTCTTCCAGGGTGAGGCAGATCAGTCGCCGGCTTCTGGACGGCCGCTCACTGCGGCTGCTGGCCACTCACGCTGGCTGCTGGCCGCTCACGCTGGCTGCTGGCTACACACGGTAGCCCATGGCAACCCACTGCCACAGGGGCTGCAGCCCACGCCGTCGCCGGCGACTCACAGCAGCCCAGCTCCAGGTTGAGCTGCCGTTCAGCATCTTAGCTGTAGAGGGCAGTGTCACTGGCCCTCATATGTGGGATCCGAACCGGGGCCCTCTGGCATCCCAAGCGAGCTCTTAACCATCGCGCCACTCGGCCGGCCCGTAATACCTTTACTTTTTAAAAAGCCGTTTTAAAACATTTTAAAATACCTTCATATTAAAAGTGTATGCACAAGGCCGGCCGAGTGGCGCGATGGTTAAGAACTGGCTTGGGACGCCAGAGGGCCCGGTTCAGATCCCACATATGAGGGCCAGTGACACTGCCCTCCACAGCTAAGGTGCTGAACCAACAGCTCAACCTGGAGCTGGGCTGCCGTGAGTCGTTGGCGACGGCGTAGGCTGCAGCCCCTGTGGCAGTGGGTTGCCATGGGCTACCATGGGCTACCATGTGTAGCCAGCAGCCAGCATGAGCGGCCAGCAGCTGCAGTAAGCAGCCGTCCAGAAGCCGGCGACTGATCTGCCTCACCCGGGAAGAGCGCAATGATGGTGCCAACTTGGGCCACTGAAGCAACATCCTCCACACAACTAGACTGAAGAACAAAACGACAGCAACTTGTCTGTTCCCCTTCCCCCAATTCCCCAGCTCTGTTCCCATCCCCCCGATTTCCCAATAAAAAAAAATCTTTAAAAAAAACCGTAAGTTAAAAGTGTATGCACAACCTAAAAACAGTTAGCCTTATAGCCTTTCTCACAGAGCAGACCTCTCGGTTTCAGAAACCGCCCCACTGCCTGGGTATCAAGGGAAACGGAAGTTCTCAGTGGTGATCAGCTTGTTGGCATCAGCATATTGACTCCCCAACCTGCCATGTTTTTCTGTCATTGCAGGTGATTTTCAAAGCCAAGTCAAAGTACTCTCCGGAGCTACTCAAATACCGGTAAGTCCCCGGGGCTGTTTTCTCTGTGAAAGCAGGTGAAAGGCTCACACAGTGGCCTGTTTCTGCAACTGGGTTTGGCACACACATCAGTCCTCCGTGAGCTGCCTGGAGCCGTCCTGCCCACCCAGTGTGGAGTTGGCTCATGAAAGCAGGACTTTCTAGGTCTTGCAGCGTGTCTGCCTCATTTAGAAATAAGAGCCCGGTGTCTGTCATAACCAGGGAGCAAAGAGAGGGGAATAAAATCGATGCATGCTGCTGTTGGAGGTGCGTGTGGAGTGAGGGGCCTCAGCAGAAGGCAGAGGGTTCCCTGGAGATGCTGGCACGTGGCCCGGCATTCCCTCCCCTGGGCGCAGCTGTGGTTAGAGCCTTGTCCCTGTGTTCCTGCCCTCTGCCTGGTGTCCTGGGCTCCTCGTCCCTCGCTGCCAACTGCTAGTCGCTCTGTTCTGCAAAGCTGCACCGTCTTTGTGCAGTCACCATACCTGGCACCACAGCTGCTGGTTTGCAGCTCCGCCCACATCCAGCAGGTGCATTTTTTATCATTGTAGCACTCAGTTAGGCACCCTGAGGCGGAGAGGTGGTCTGTCCTGGAAAGATAATTACACCGCCTGCAAAGATGTCCTAAACAGCAGGAAAGCTATCAGAATCAGGCCAAGCGCCATCTGGGACGTGTCAGGCACGTGGGCGGCCTCTGTTGTGGCCTCTGTGGATGTGAGAGTCATAGGAATTTGGTGGAAGAAGAGAGGCCTGTGCTGAGCTGGACAGGGGAGGCCTGCAGTCCAGAAGAGGAGCCTTCAGTCACTTGCCAGGTTCATGTGCATAGGAGGATGTGCATGTTTTTCCTGCGGGGAGGGTCCATAGCTTTCCCCAAAGTTTCATAGAGCTCTGTGACCCCCGGCAGCAGAGAACTAGTGGCTGAGAGAGGTCAGACTTGGCCGGGGACGGGGAAAGGAGACCAGGCATCCGAGGGTGTGAGGCGGGTGCGTCACCAGTCAGGGTGTCCTGGTGTCCCTGCCCAGGAGAGCTCCGAGCCATGGGCAGACATTTCTGAAAAGGTGACTTTGGTCACTTACTTTCTTAAATCAAAATGAAAATTTAATTATTTTATTACTTAAAAAATATTCCAAAAATATGCATATTAGATTTTTTGTATACCAGGGGTACCAAAAAATGTATGCAAGTGGATCCTTTGGTCATCGTTGCTCAAGCAATAGTTTGCCGTCATCAGAAGTGTCTGGACGCTGATGGTAACCGCTTTGAGCACCTCTTGTAATTGCAGAAGTCAAACGTGACTTGTATTCGTCTTTTGTTATTGGTACATATTGAGTATTACAATTTCAGTACAGTTTTCCTTTCTTAAAATGTGTATACATTTTTTTGGCACCTTCTGTATGTATGTACCTTAAATTTATAAAGACTTTTTAGTTAAAATTCTGGCAGTATGTATTTTCATCCTCATTTGCATCCAAAGACACTGAAGTTCAGAAAGCTAGGTGACAGTGTGGGGCCAGGATCAGGGAGCGAGATCGGTGCCATGTTGTTTTTCACTTGACCTTGCCGTCTCCCTTCAGTGCTTTTTGGATTGTTTGCTTCCTGTTTCTACTGGACTATTCGGCTGGGACTTCAGAGCCCACCATGAAGTGACGCTGGTCCCAAGGAGGGCAGTTTAAAGTAGCAAGTCCAAGTAGACAGTCCCTCCTGCCCCTGATAAAAGAGCCTTTCTTATGTGCTGCTGGTAACCTCAGCCCACCAGCCCCTGACCCGAAATGGGGGCCAGTGGGGGGTGGGGGGGCGGAAAGGGTGGCCTGGGAGCAGAGAATGCCTGAAGGCTGGGGTGCGGGGAGAGTATTCTGATTGGATCATGGTGCCCGCCTTATCTTGTAAATGCTTGATAAGGTGTGGAAGCTTCTAGAAGTGCACTGGTCAGCAAGCATGACAAGCTTTCAACCTCTGCACATTTGGGGGATGGTTGTCAGGTGAGAAGACGGAGGGCAGTACTTGATCCTGAAACCAAAGTGCAGACAAGACAGGCTACGCTGAGGTGTGTGACCGCTTTCACGGAGAGGGGCCTTATAGAGATGGAGGGAGAAATACAGTTGGATTCAGATGTTAAAGGAGCGATGTTTGGGCTAGAGAAGGGGGCGTTTCCTCAAGCCAGGAGGGCGAGGCTTTAGTGGGAGAAGCCTGCTGGCTCAGATCTGAGAATTCCATGGCCCCGTGTGAAGGGACCCAGGGAGTCCTTGTGTTCCTGCACATCTGCAGTCTCCTCTGACTCCCCATTTTTCTAAAGCCAGATACCACAGCCGACATTTCTGGCCACGGCTCATCCCTTGAGATGCTTCAGGTAGACTGGCTTCCCTAACTGACAGTGAATCACGAGCCGTTAGTCTAGCACTAGTGGAAACATCCCACCCAAGCTGCTCCTGCAGCAGTTCTGTGTTTCTGAAGATCCTTGATATTCAGCCCCGCCCAGAACCGCTTTGTTCCGCCCGTTTCCCCAACACATCCACTAGCTGAGTTTTACTGGAGTTGCTGCCTATTGGATTTGGTTTCTGTTTTTCTCTCTCTTGATCTGTGTTTTTAAATCTTTGACTCAGGAAATGTGAACACTAAGTGTGGGAGTGCATGAGTACTTTGCGTTGTAAACATTTTCAACTGTTTTCCCTCCATCTTCGATTTAAAAAAAAATTTTTAAAATGTAATGACCTGGGCTCTGCTTTTTCTGTTCTGTAAGAAATCTGAGGTGTTGGAAGAGAAATTAGACAATCTAGTAACACTGTCCCCTCATGCTAGGAGGTGGTGACGTGCGGTCTTATTGACCCAAGCCTGGAACTTCCTGTCCTGAGGACGACAGGACAAGTCTGGGGGTGGGGGCTGCCCAGCCAGAGCCGGATACTTCTGGTCTCGCAGTGAAATGGTCTTCCCAGAAGCCAGGTTCCGCTGATTTTCTTATCCTTTGGTCTTTTCTCTTATCTGGGCTATTTATCCTGATCCTGTAGTTTGGGTTGAAAAGAAGTAGTTTTAGGGCAATGTTCAAAACATTGTTCCTGTGGAAACATACCCTTGTGATATGGTCTGTTCTGCCAACACTCTCCACCCCTCCCAAAATCTCTCCGTTTCTTCCAGAGCTGCAGGCCAAGGGGGAATAGTTAAGTTTTATAAGTTTTGTAGTTGTTTTTTTTTTTTCATTATAAAAGTTATGTACGGTCATTAGAAAAAATTATAAAATAGAAAAAAGATAGAAAATTTGTGAATTTACACCTGTGGAAAGAAGTAGAACAAACCTGCTGAACCCCTTTGCCCCACAATGTAGGGGAATACAGTGACATGTTCTACTGTAGGTTTACACAGACTTGTTTCAAGAAAGAGCTGGTGTTTTATCGCATTTCCAGTTTTGCTTTCTGACTTTTTATCTTAACGTTGGATCATAAGTGCTTCCATATTGTTTCAAGTCTCACAGCACAGGGTGTTTCTTTAAGGCACTAACAGGCTTTTGTTTAGCAGGTGGCCCTATAGGCTCAGAGAGCAGCATTTGACAGAAGTCAGGGGGCATGAAGGCTTTCGGCAGAAAGATCCACTTGTATAAGACGGGGAGGTGGGGACGCCTGCAGGGCTTTGGGGACAGTGAGTAACTGGCTTAATTAGCTTGCAGAATGCCCATAGCTTGAGCTGGCTCTGGAGTGCAGGGGACTGGAGGGTGCAGGGTGGAGTTCGGGGTGGAAGTGAAATTAGGACACTGTCACAGTAGTTCTGGTCAGAAGGCACGGGGCAGGTGGTGGTGGTGAGATGGGAGGTAGCAATGAGGAACCTGTTGAATTGACAACTGATTGTGGTGTGTGTGTGTTGGGGGGGGAGGGGCGGGGTGTGCAAAGATCTTCACAGTTAGCAGCCTGAAAAGTTAGGGTGGAAATTATGGTTGTTCGGAAAACTGGAGGAGGAACGTTAGGCCTTGAGCGTGGACATGCTGAGGTGACGGGGCCTCGATGGTAGACGGGCTGGCTGGAACATGAGTCGGGACTTAAGACAGAGGCTGTGGCTCAAGACCGAGCTTTTTGAGCTTGGTCGTACAGAAGTTGTCCCTGAAGCTGCAGGAGCGAACACACTCCCTGGGGAAGTGGGTGTGGAGGACAGTGCCCAGGACGTGGCCACTTTGGGGAAGGAAGAGGTTGAAGAGGAACCAGGGGCTCCCCAGGCACAGGCTCAGATGAGGAAATGAGGGAGCATTGGACTGTGGAGGAAGTAGGGCTCCAGGAAGGTTGGGGGGAGATGGCGGCGCAGCCAGCATGCACCTTTAGTTTAGTGAGTAGGTTGTGGAGCCTGAGAGAATGAGGTCAAGAGAGGACTGCAGAGCACAGCCCGGGTCACAAGGGTGACTCCCTGTGGAGGAAGTATTGGTGGGAGGAGGGGAAACCTTTTTCTGGAATTTGCTGTTGATGAAAAGTTCTGTGGGGTGAGGACAGAGGAGAAAGCCAGACAAGCAGGCACAGGACCCACGGAATCCTCCTAGAGGAGGGTAGGGGTGTTGTCCCCATGTCACAGATGAGGACACACAGCTCTGTGTCCCACACTCGTCTTCTCTCTCATGCCAGGCAGGTGACGGCAGCGCAAGGGCCGGGTGGAGGCCTGGTCACCATGTATGGAAACCCGAGCTGGGAAGGGCGTGGGAGCCACCCCACGCGAGCAGTGGTGGGAGCCACCCCACCCGGGTGCAGGTTACCCTCGGCTTCCTCCCAGTGTCCTGCAGCGGTCATGTACTGCTTTCATAAAAAAGAAAAAAGAATAAGAATTTATATCCACAGTAGTATTTAAAACCACACCCATGAGGAGTCGTCTGGAAAAGTTAGATGTCCAGACGGTGCTTTTTCCAGACGCTCACTGCTACCCTATGGATAGAAGTGGGTGCACTTTGGCAAGGACCCAAACATGACAGGGCTGATTCCAGAGGGTTCTGGATGTTTCTGACCCACGCCCTTCACAAAAATGCAGCAGATAATAAAACAATAAGAAACAGGGAACTAGAATGCAGGTTTTCGGGGACTCCCAAATGATCCTGCCTTTGTCCCTCTCTCCATGCCCGACTTCCCCATCCGTGAGAATGTGGCAGAGAACAGATAAACGCCACAATAACTTACCAAGAGCCGGACACTGTGCTAACTGCCCCCATGCGTCCTCTCCTGGCCTCTCAGCAGCCCGGCGAGACAGGCACGGAGCTCCCACCTCATATCCTTGGAGGAGGAGGCGGACGCTTGGCCTGTTAGGGACCTGGCCTGAGGTCACAGGCAGATTTCGTGTTTCCCTGATGGTGACCTAGAGGAAGCATTCCTGATCCGATGGACAGTTTTCCACGTGGCAAGGTGACCCTGATCTTAGCAATGAGAAAATGCGTCCTGGATGTGAAATACAGGGCAGGTGGACTGAGCACTCACTGTGAGCCCAGGATGGTGTTTTGATGCGGGCGACACAGTCATGGGGTGCCCTTCCTGAGCTCAGTCGGCTGTGGGAGATGCTGGCACCCAGAACTGAACCCTGTGCCCCTGTGCTGGGAAGGGAACTAACAGCACGTTGTGATGGGGGCGACAGCGGGCAGTACGGAGGGCCTGCTGGCGGGGAAGAGCTGGGGCGGGCACTCCATGCAGAGGGACCAGCAGGGGCCATGATTCTCAGCGAGAGAGTGAGGTGGATTGGAAGGGCCTTGACCAGGGAGCATGTCCTAGAAAAGAACCTGACCTTGGTAACTCATTTATGTTTATTTAAAAAAAAAATAGTTTCTGCTTGAAAAGCTTTGAGTGCATCACTACACATGAACTCGAATCTCTAAGACTGCAAAGCACTGCCTGTCACCACTGCATGCGGCACAACCCCAGGGGGCCCGGGACTGTGGTGGCTCTGACCACATCTCTCTTGTCTCCTCTGATGGCACCACCTCGGGTCCAGGTCCCCCTGGCTCCCTGTCGTCACGCCTCTGGCATGCCTCCATCCTCAGCTCCTCGGGCCATCGTGTCTCCTGCCTGAAGTCCCTTTACCCCATCCATGCACCACACTGCCCCAAATCGTCTTTCTCCAACACAGAATGGCCACATCTGTCATCCTGTGCTCATCCACTTTGTGGGTCCCCAGCCCCTCCAGTCTCTCTCCCACCCTGTCTGTCCCCTGCAGGACTGTTCAAGTCTAGCAAACACTTGCCAGCTCAAACTGAGCGTGGGCTTTCCTGCATTTCCAACTTTGCACGTATCATACTCTCTCCTCTCTGTGTTCCGTGCGCTTTGTCCATCTCTCGCCAGCATCTTCCCGGCCACCCTGCATTTTCTGTATCCCTTTACCTCTGCACCGGCCTGAGGAGTAAGCAGTGCCCAGCACAGGGCTGCAGAGGAGTAAGCAGTGCCCAGCACAGGGCTGCAGAGGGTGTCGTCTCTTCTCTCCACCTTGAAAGATGCAATTCCTCAAGTTCAGGTTGTTTCCCCAAGAAGGGGACAATCTCATAGCTGATGCGATGGAGTGTTTACAGGAAAGTAAAGGGCCACCCTGGTTAGGGACCCAGTGTAATGCTTCCAGGGCAAGTACACATCTTCGCCTGCCTGCCTCCCTCCCCACTCCCTCTCCCGCAAGCATATTTATTGAGCTCCTACCATGTACAGTGTGGATAGCCGGGGTGAAGGAAAGGGCCAAAATCTCCATCTTCCTAGAGCCGACCACCTCTGAAGGAGGTGGCGTTGGTCAGACCATGTCCACGGGCTTTATTGTAAGCTGACCAGTCTGTGAGGTTAAAGTACAGGGACCAGGAAAGCAGACGTCGGAAAGACCTGATGATGTGTGTGTGTGTAAGGGGGTGCAGGAGTGAGTCAGGAAAGGCTTTTTGGAAGAAGTGATATCTGAGCTACAATCTGAAGGATGAGGAGGCGCGAGGTCAGCAAAATTCCTCTGATAGAATGTGGGCTCTGAAAATTTGGTGAGTCTCCCGGTAGATAGTAAATTATTATTTGCAAGATCTAAAATACCATTCAAATTAGCTGGGGTTCGTGGGGGTTTGTTACATGGTCCCGGCATCTGAGGGGAGGAACTGAAACTGCGCTGTCCCTCTGCCCCTGTCTTTGTCCCTCCGTCCTTCATCACATGGGCTTCTGTCAGTGGCGTGCTGTGTGGAGCTGGGACTAGAACCCAGGGTTCCCTAGCCTTGTGTGTGGCAGCTTTGCAGACACGCACATCACTCTCTAGCTTCCAAACCACTTCTAGTTGATGGTTTTGAACTTGCCTTTGGACTTACAAACATTCAGCTGAAACCAGTCTGGCTTTGAGCCCAGCGGGACTGTTCCTTATTTGTGTGACTTCTGGAAGACATCTGCCTGAGGGAAATATGATATGTCCTTAAGAGAAACTTGAGGCTGCTGATTTCAATTTCAGCAAATCTGAGAAGTCTTTGTATAGACCTTCCGCAGGTCACTTAGGAAGTGTGTAGCTCTGAGAAGCTGCAAATTCAAATTGGTCAGTGACAAGGAAGGACAACTGGGAGCGTTCAGCCTTGGGCAAGGTGCTGTGACAGAGTTTTAATTCCAGCATCCTGTAGTGAGGGCTCCCAGGTACGAGAGAGTGCTACCCACTCCCACTTCACCTGTGACTTTTTTTGGGTAAAACCCTTTATAAACATTACTTCAACCCTCAAAGGCAGCCTGTAAGGGAGGTATCATTTAGTCTATTGGGTTGTCGGAAAACTTATGACGTATTTTTCTATGTTTTTCATTGCAAAAATGCGTCATGACTTTTCTGACAACCCAGTAGTTTCAGATGATGACACTGAGGCTCATACAGGTTGATTTGACCCACGTGCCCCGAGCACAGAGCGGGTAGCGGGCTTTTTATTTTTTATTTTTTATTGGGGAATTGGGGGAAGGGGAACAGACAAGTTGCTGTCGTTTTGTTCTTCAGTCTAGTTGTGGAGGACGTTGCTTCACTGGCCCAAGTTGGTATTATCATTGTGCTCTTCCCGGGCGAGGCAGATCAGTCGCCAGCTTCTGGACGGCCGCTCACTGCGGCTGCTGGCCGCTCACGCTGGCTGCTGGCCACACACGGTAGCCCATGGCAACCCACTGCCACAGGGGCTGCAGCCTATGCTGTCGCCGGCGACTCACAGCAGCCCAGCTCCAGGTTGAGCTGTTGTTCAGCATCTTAGCTGTAGAGGGCAGTGTCACTGGCCCTCATATGTGGGATCCGAACCGGGGCCCTCTGGCGTCCCAAGCCAGCTCTTAACCATCGCGCCACTCGGCCGGCCCGGGTAGCGGGCTTCTTGAAACCAACTCTGACTCCGGCCCGCGCTCTGTACTCTGAGCGCGTCCTGCTCAGGGAGCGTCCACGGCTCGTTCAATCCTCACAACTTCCCGGGAAATGAGGCTCCGAGTGCTAAGTACCTTCGCGAGGGCACACTTTGTAGTCAGTTTGTAATTTGTATCTGGACCGAATTCAAAGTCTCCCTCGAGGTGTTTGTTAACCTTGGCGTGCTCTGCTTCTGGCTGTTCCTTCTAGAATGACCGAGAATACGGAGGCAGGTCCCGGTGCCTTAAACTTCTCTCTCGTCCTTCCCAGGTTACCCCTCTACCTGGCCTCCCTCGTCATTAGTCTCGTCTTCCTGCTGGTGAACTTAACCTGTGCTGTGCTGGTGAAGACCGGGAGCGGGGAGAGGGAGGCCGTCGTCTCCGTGCGCGTGGCCATCAACGACACGCTCTTCGTGCTGTGCGCCGTCTCTCTCTCCATCTGTCTCTACAAAATCTCTAAGATGTCCTTAGCCAACATTTACCTGGAGTCCAAGGTAAGATGAAATATGCCCAAGAGCCCGCCGTTCAGCTTGTTCTAACATTAGTTTCCTGGTGTGCAGACCTTTCACACCTGGCCTCTGACAAATGATTAGCCACACCACCGTTGCCAAAACACAGAGCTGTGTGGTTCACTGAACTTTGTATGTGAGGAGGTTCCGGCTCGGTGGCTCGGTGCATTGGAGTGTGCAGAATTCCTGGCAGAGTTAAGTCTCTGGTGTATAGATGCGGTGGTTTAACCAGCATTTTAAAGGACCAGTGGGGTTGACTGTGCCAATATTAATAGAAACACATTTATGTTCACTGTTCTGGACACTTTTATAAGCACTTGACATGTATAAGCTAACAGAATCCTCACGACTCTGTGGGAGTAGGTATAATCTCCACTTTATAAATAAGGAAACTGAGGCACCGGTCAGTAGGTTGCCCAGGTAACACAGACGCGGCCTCAGCCGTCTGGCTCCAGGGTCTGCCCTCGTCTCCACCTGGTCGTTCTGCTGTGGAGACTGAGATGCAGGCTCACCCCCAGCCTGGCGCCCACGAGCAGGGCCTCCGTAACCTTGGGGCTGTCCCTGGAGCTCAGGACACCATTCCTCTCATTGGTCGGTAGAGGTGGAGCCAGACGAAGTCCGGGCCCGCTCGCTCTCCACTGCTGTGCTTCACACCCTAGAATCTGCGTTCTCCTTTCCTTTCCCCCAAGTTACACAGAAGGGCTGGTACGCTGCCTGGGGCTGCGGTGCCCAGCGCCCCCGATCAGCCCCCAGCTCTCCTTTCATCGAGGAGCCTAGTGAAGTGTGAGGGCGGGGAGCAGATGCCCGGGGTGCCCGCTGGCTGTGGGACCCCAGCCCCGCCAGTCACGTGGCCTCTCTGGGCCTCGGTTTTCTCATGTGTAGAACGGCTGAGTGGTTTCTGTGGTGCCTCTGCTTCTAGAGTTCAGGGGCCGTGTGGCCTAGGGCGTACCCTGTCGGCCTCCTTTGCCGTGTGGCCCAACGGCCATATCTTTGGTCTGAAGATTGTGAGGCGGCTATGTCTCCCATGGTGTCGTGTCTTTGCTAGTGATCAGTAGATTAAAACCTGTGCCTCTAACTTCAAAAATATAAAGCCTTAATCAGGGCATCCTGCGACTTTGCTGAACTCTTGTAAAATCCTGAAAGTTAGCGTGACAGAGTTTTTCTTTGATAAATTTTGACGAGTTTTAGATGTGATTTTGCCTTAACTTTCTGTATTATTTATGTTGTCTCCCATTAGGGGCTATCCAAGGCTTTTAAAAACAGAATTGTGGTTTTAACAGGAGGGGTTAACTTTTAAATTGTCAAATACCATTTAGGTCACTGCCATGGCAAACAAGCTAATAAACTACTCCTGGCAAATTAAATAGCTTGGAATAAGTTAGTGATTTCCAAATGTAAGATTCGAAAATGAATTTTAGTGTTTTGGTTAACTATCTGTTTCTAGCTAGGAGGCCTTTAACGGACTTGGGAAATTGACGGCTTCATAAATTGGGGCACGAATCACTGATTTCCAGGTAATTCTAAGCCAGGATTCCAGGACTGCCAGCCTAGAAGATCCCGGTTCTTGAGGACGCGCCAGAGCCACTGCCAGCAGCACAGCTCTCTCCCAGCCGCTGTCCCTGTGAGAGCGTTTGGTTGTCCCCAGGCCAGAAGCTGGGCAGTGGGCTCAGAGGCCGAGGGGGCCGTCTTGGAGCTGGGCAGCGGCACTTAGAGCTTTAACACGGTAGCCATCTGACTGTTTTGTTCTCACACGCCGAGGCCTCAGACAAATGGCTCACACTATAACCCCATTAAAGGCACGTCCAAATCAACTCCCAGGCTTTAAAGCGGCTGCATACAGATAATTGAGTTTTAGGAAGGGGTGTGGAATGAGGGGAGGTCTGGAGTGGGTCTGAGGCCCGTGGGTGGAGGGTTCTGACAGGTCGGGCCCACCAGGTGGGAACACAGGCGGATCTGGGCAGAGGCTGATGTCCTGCACCCGCAGTGGGCGCCCCTCTCATGGCTCCTGCTTTCCAGGGTTCCTCCGTGTGTCAAGTGACCGCCATCGGTGTGACCGTCATCCTGCTATACACCTCCCGAGCCTGCTACAACCTGTTCATCTTATCGTTTTCTCAGAGCAAGAACGTCCGTTCCTTTGATTACGACTGGTACAACGTGTCAGATCAGGTCAGTGGGCGCGGTGAGGCCACCTGAACAGTGGTTCATGCTTTGCAGCATCTCAGGTGGCGGAGAGGTATAAGCGCCTGGCTTTGCTGTCAAACAGCTGGATGACCTTGACAGTCACCTGTGCGGCACCCACAGTCTCATCTGTAAAATGGGGTCGTAGTGCCTGCTGTTCCAGCTCATACGTCTTGTGAGGAACTGGGGTATGTGTGCACACGTACACACACGCACCTGTGCACACATGCGCACACTTCTTTCTCCTCTACGTTCTGGGGCCCTTGTCAAGAAGTACTTACATTTTTTAAAGTGCTTCCATATAAATGTAAGATGGTCTTATTCAAGGGTGAAATTTGCACAGGTAAAACAAATTCCATTTGGGTTTCCGGAAATACGTAAACCTGAAGTTATGGGAAATTTTGTAAAGGAGCATGAACACTAACAGTGTTTCAGGAAATCCAGACAAAAGTGACTGAGGACACTCAGGTGTTAATAAAAGCTCATTTTACCAGCTCATTTTACTCTGTTTTCATAAGTTATAAATTATAAAGCAAACAAACAAAGGGAGTGAAGTATCATCTGGCATCCATGTTCACAAAAGCTCAAAATACAAAAGAATGAGTTTGCACTGTCTCATTTGAGAAATACCGATTCTTTGTCTCCAGCCCTGGGCAGAGTGGGGGTGGGGGGTGAAAGTGAGCAGACTCCCTGCCTCTGGGAGCTGATGTCCCCTGAGGAAGGGACAAATACAGAGAAGCCATTACGATAAAGAAATAGAATGTCTGTAACAGGAGCCTATTGGATTGAACAGCAAAAACGCCTCAGCTTTTCCTAGAAAAATACTGAGTACCCAACTGTATACAAACCCCTTCTAAAATCCCAGCAGTGTTTGGAGCCTGGACTAAATTAAGACTCTGGAAGAAAGAATGAAATGACCGTGATAAGTTAAACCTGTGAGGACAAGAGGCTCTTCAGAATATGAGAAAGGATGAAAGCAGCAGTGACCGCCACCACCCCTAACCCAGACCGTACCACACATGCAGGGTGGCAGGAGAAAGCGGGGCCAGGCACTGCTGAGGGGGTGCCGTGCTTGGAGATTGTCAAATATATAAAAATCTAAACTTCACGCAATGATAAATTAGACTTATCTGTCATACGCAAAGGATTTCCACTGTAGTAAAATATACACCATTTACTGTTTTCACCATTCGTCAGTGTCTAGCTCAGTGGCTTGAAGCTCACCCATCACCACCGTCCACCTCCAGAACTATTTCACCTTCCCAAACTGAAACTCCATACCATTAAACAACAGAGACTATTTTAACAAAATAGTCATTTCAGTGTTTCTTTCAAATAAGAGCTTGTAGTTAGAACAAATTTTAAATATCACAAATTTAAAAATTTTATTGTGAGGGGAAATTTATTCTGATATCTAGACCTGTTGCAACCGAGAAAATCTAGGAAAAAAACAAATGGCCACAAGTCGCACACGTCTTCCGTGTAGAATGAAAAAGGAGCGACGTCCTATTGTGACATATTCTAGTTTGAGAGTAATCTTGCTGAAGAGTATATGATTAGTTTTGGTTAATGTACTTCAATACGGTGTAACACTCTATTATAGGAAAAGGATTAAGGTTAGGTGATTGGCCCTTTATGGTTTGATTGTGGGGCACAGTCTTTCCTTGAAATGATGGATTCCTGGTACAGGTGCCCAAACACAACAGTGCACGCCCTTCACACACCTCCATCTGCCCCACAGGGAGAGACAACCCAGGCCGCTCAGCCATCTCTGGTCCGGAAGCCTGGTGTCCTGGACTCTGAGAATTATTTTCTAGACAGTCTAGCCTGCAAGGAGTTTAAAGGGCAAAGAGTAGGATAAAGTTAATGTGAAGAGAAGTTTAAAAATTGACGTGTTTATCCTAAGGATGAGACTTAGGGTAACAGTTACATGCCACTCAGGAATTGGGAGAAGGCCACATATTCTCATTATTCAGTTGCTGAAGAAAAGAAAATCAGCTTAAATTTGAGAACCTTGATTTGGACATAAGGAGGATTTTGGAGGGTGAAGTTATAAAACATCAGAGGGGCAGTTTCCTGGTTAGAATATTCTGAAGACTAGGAGTAACTGTCCTGAAAGGTTTAAGTAACTTTCCACCTGAGGGTAGACCCTTAGTATTATCTGATTTCAACATGGACATTTTAGGGAAAGGATTCCACTCAATTAGAATCAGTCTCTGTCCCCATTGGAAACAATTGAGTCAAACTTATTTCCTTTGCCCTCGCTCTAGTGACACCACTTTCTCCATCTCTCTCAACAGGCCGACCTGAAGAATCAGCTGGGAGACGCTGGCTACGTCGTGTTTGGAGTGGTCCTTTTTGTGTGGGAGCTTTTACCTACCACCTTAGTCGTTTACTTCTTCCGTGTTAGAAATCCTGCAAAGGACCTTGTAAGTAAACCGTTTTCTATTTGCAGAAAATGCCTCCTAATTCTAATCACACGACCATTGAATTCGAATATTTTCTTAGATTTTCAACAGAGAGCCTTCTCCATCCTGTTGTGATATAAAAAAGTCCCTCATTTGAGATTTTCTTGTCCCTTTGAGGGAAATGTGGTTTTCAATTTATCTTATAGAAGAAGTGAAAGTAAGTTGCATGTCAGGGCCTGGACAGAGTGTTGAACTGTGTTTCCTAATGCAATAATAGCCTCACTGTGAACCAAATCTATAAGCTTCTATTTTAGCCAAGGAAAATAGAGAATAGTAACTCAGTTCTTCACCCCTACCTTATGCTGGATGGTTATTAGGGAATGGGGTGGTAAGGAATTTAAAACATTATTGTGAAGAATGCTAAAGCCACTCCCCCACTTTGGTCACATTTCTGCTCAGCTAACTTTATGTAAATGTCTTCATGAGGGGAGGACAGAAAGTGCAAAACCCGGCAGTGAGGAAGCTCCCGGGAGCTCGGCTCCGTAAGTTATTCCAACCACACTAACTCGTGGTAGAATTTTGAATCACTGGTCTTTGAAACCCATGGGAAAGTAGAATGAATGGTTTTTGTCTAATGTGAGCAAAATGTAGGTGGTAAGGAAAGCATAGATACAATAACCAATCTAACCAATCTGTTGTGTTTTATCTTGTGTTTTTTTGTATTCATCTCTGGATAGTCACTAAGGAGCCAGGAATAGAAAATAAAAAAGTAAGACTGGAGTGGGGAGGGTGGTGCAGAAGCCAACCCGACAAGATGGGCCCTTGAGCGAGAATGGCAGTGGGTGACGTTTTCTGATCTCAGGATTGGTTTCCTCCCCTTTGGTTATTTTCACCTGACCTTGATGTGCATTGGGAACACCTGGAGACATCTGTAGAGTCAGACCCTGACCTTCTCAGCACTGGCCCAGAAACACGGGAAAGGCGGCAGCGGGTTCTAGGCCGTGAGTCTGGTTCCTTGTTTTCCTTCCTTCTCTGAAGAAAGTGCTGAGGTTTTCTGGGAACTTTGTTTGACTTGGGGACAGTGAGGAGTCTCCTAAGCAAAATCCCAGCGCCACTGAGGCTCCACCTAGGCCATCCATGGGTCTTCTCGGCACTTCCTGGCCTTCATCACCTCGTGTTTCAGAGGCTTACGGGCCCTACTCCCTAAAGCCCAGGCATTCTCAGGAGAGAGCACAGCGTGATATCGTTCAAAGTTCTGTTTTATTAACTGAATCTACAGAGTGATACTGATAGTCTAGTCCAGGGGTCGGCAAACTTTTGAGATGGAAGAGCCGCCAGGGGTCAGCAAACTGTGGCCTGCGAGCCACATGCGGCTCTTTAGGTACATACATGTAGCTCTGAAGTAAAATTGAAAATGAAAACTATCATAGTTTCATTTATAAACTTTTTAAAGGATATTATTCACATAATGGTGATGTCATTTGTTTTATGGCTCTCAAAAATTTTTAAATTGTTGTGAGGGACAGGATTGGCTCTTCCAGGAGACGGAATGTACCCAAAGAGCTGCATGTGGCTCGCAAGCTGCAGTTTGCCGACCCCTGGTCTAATCTGTACTCTCAGATCTCATTATCCAGGAAACATGTCACCCTTAATGAACTCTGTGTCATATGGTGATTATGTTTGAATATGTCTAGAGCAGCCCTTCTCAGTGTTTTTGGTCTCAGGCCCTTTACACTGATAAATTTCTTCTTTTTTTTTATTGAGGTATAACTGACAACATTTTATTACTTCCAGGTATATAACGTAATGATTCAATATTTGTGTATATTGCAAATTGAGCAGCACAGCAAATCCACTTAACGTCCATCACCACAGTTACAAATTTGTTTTTCTTATGATGAGAACTTTCAAGATCCACTCTCCTAACTACTTTCAAATATACATTATTAATAACTGTAGTCACCATGCTATAGAATCACATCCTCAGGACTTACTCATTTTATAACTGGAAGTTTGCACCTTTTGACTCCTTCACCCATTTCATGCCCCTCCCCTCCCCCAACGCGCCAGGTAACCACCACTCTGCTCTCTGTATCTAGGAGCTCCAGGGTTTTCTATTTGTTTGTTTGTTTTCAGATTCCACATATAAGTGAGATCACCCAGTGTTTATATTTTTCTGTCTGACTTATTTCACTTGGCATAATACCCCTTAGGTCCATTCGTGTTGTCGCAAATGGCAAGTTTTCATTATTTATGGCTGAGTAATATTCCATTGCATATATACACTATACCACATTTTTATCCAGTCAGCTACCAATGGACACTTAGGTTGCTTCTATATCTTGGCTATTGTGAATTGCGCTGCAGTAAACATAGGGGTGCATATATCTTTTCCATTAGTGTTTTGGATTTCTTTGGATAGTTACCCAGAAGTGGAATTGCTGGGTCCTAAGGTAGTTCTGTTCTTAATTTTTTGAGATACCTCCATACTGTTTTCCATAGTGACTGTACCAAATTACATTCCCACCAACAGTGCACAAGTGTTCCCTTTTCTCCACATCTTTGCCAACACTTGTTTGTTGATTTATTGATGATAGTCATTCTCAGGTGTGAGGTGACATCTCATTGTGGTTTTGACTTGCACTTCTCTGATCATCAGTGATGTTGAGCATCTTTTCATGTCTGTTGGCCGTGTGTATGTCCTCTTGGGAGAAATGTCTCTTCAGATCCCGTGCCCATTTTTATATTGAGTGTCTTATTATTGAGTTGTAAGAGTTCTTTATATATTTTAGATGGAAGTCCCTTGTCAGATAAGTTTTGCAAATATTTTCTCCTATTTTATGGGTTGTTTTTTAAATTTCTTGATGATGTACTTTGAAGCAAAAAAGTTTTTAATTTTAACGAAGTCCAGTTTATGTTTTTTCTTCAGTTACTCATGCTTTTGGTATCTTATCTAAGAATTCTTTGCCAAATCCTAGGTCATGAAAATTTGCCCCTGTATTTTCTTCTAAGAGTTTTACAGTTTTTACTCTTACGTTTAGGTCTTTGATCCATTTTGAGTTGCTTGCTGTATAGGTAAGATCCTATACAACAGGTAAGGTCCAACCTCACTGTTTTGTATAGACGTTCGTGAGCTACAAATGGTAAATTTTAAGGCATCCCACCTTGTATAAGTTCCCCTTTGCTTCCTATCCTTGGTGAGATTAGTCTTTGGAAAGCAGGAATTCACATATAATTAGCCACCGTGTAACAACAGCTTTGTTTCATACTGTTGGTTAACCTTTAAATAGACCGCTAATGACATATATAGGATGTAGACAAATGCTGGATTTTATGCCAGCTTTGGTTTGTTATGTCATATCATTCTGGTCTGCTCACTTGAAACCAGTTATTTGAAATTTTTTGAGAGGTAAACTCAGGTTGGGGACAAATACAGGGGGAACAGATCATAGAGGCAGGGTATGGAAACTGGATAATAAACTCAAAATTATTTCATCATTTTAAATTGCTGTGCATCCCCACATTGTTATATAGGTTTCTAGCCAATGTGGGACCATCTGATTTGGCTAATTTGGGTGTTTTTTGGTTTTTTGTTTGTTTTTTTTAGCTGAGCCATCCTGTCACCTCTTGGCAGCTCAGTGGCTGCTCAGCTTGGGCCGGGAATCAAACCGCTGTTGCTCAGAGCTCGCACTCTTGAGTGAGCTCTTAACCAACTGAGCCACTCGGCCGGCCCTGGTTTTTTGATAAGGGATTAAAACTGATAATTCATTGTTACAAGCAGAACTCGGAAAGATTTTGTCTATACTGATAAAAGTTAGTATCTCTTAAGTATAAAAGAAGTTGAAATGAGCTCTCCAGCTGAACAGGCACAGCCTCTCCACTAAGAGGGGAACAGCTTTGTTTTGTTTGTCCTTTGTCGAGTGTGAGGCAGTGTCTGAACCAGTAACTGTCTTTCCAGACCAGCCCTGGAATGGTCCCCAGCCATGGATTCAGTCCCAGGTCCTACTTCTTTGACAACCCTCGAAGATACGACAGCGACGATGACCTTGCCTGGAACATTGCCCCTCAGGGACTTCAGGGAAGGTGAGCCCCTGGTTCGGTTAGACAGGCCTGGCTGGAGGGTGAGGGCTGCCCCAGTGAGAGGGATTCCAACCAAAAGAAGATGGCTTCATAGACGAGCTGGAGCATAGAAACGCTGGAGCTGGGTGTGTGACACTGACTGCAGCCAGAGCGGAGAGCCCTCCTGGGGTTACTCGCTTCTGGCCTCTGCCAGGCGAGGTAGGAAACAGAAGGGCGGTGGCTGCAGGATTCCCCGCCTCTTTGTTTGGCCACGCGCCACTGCCTGCCCGGTAACCTCCATGTCCCCTCCTTCAACCTGACTTCAAGGCCAGCAGGGGTGACAGGAGTAAAGTGGGCTGACCTGGTGCTTGGCCGGGCCCCTTTCTTCTCTGCTCTGTCCCAGGACCCTGCACTGTTACTGTTAAAGGAGCTTCAGGGCGTGTTTCTGAGAGGTGAAAGCTTATTGTCTGCAATCCTTTGTGTATTCAGAGACCTGTCATTAACATTTTACTATAAACTTTCTGCCCCCCCACACCCGTTGAGAGGAAATGAAAAAAGATGTTAAAGTCCTTAGAAAACCTTCAAGTAGCTCTGAAGAGAGCCCAGCCCATGTTTTAGCGATGGGGGACACTGAGGAAAAGCTGGGAGAACACATGGTTTTCTAAGTGGATCGAGGAGCAGAGAGGTCCTGGTCCCATGGGATAAAAGATGGTACTTGGAAAAAAGAAAGTAGACCAACCCATCAAGCCGCAGACGTAGGGAGCGCAGAGCATACGGAAGCGAGCCAATAAACAATGGCTTCCGGACGCCAGAAGTTGTCCTAACCCTCTTCCCTAAAAACTGTTCTCTTGTCCAGTTACCCCACTGCATGTCCTACTAGCCGTGTGTGACCCTCTATGTATGCGCCCTAACCCCTCACCTGCCGGAGTGACAGAGCTGAGGGAGTCCCGTGTGGAAGAAGACCCTGCCCACTGCATAGACAGGAGAACATAACAGCAGTAATCGTACATTGATTGCTGCCTATACATTAAGATCCCATTCTAAGCATTTTACAGGTACTAACTCACAAAAGCCCCACCAGGTAGTTAGCAGTACGACTCCCATGCTCTACATATGATAAGATTGCACCAAAGCTATCTGCCCTAAGACACACAGGTAAGTGAATGATACTCGATGTTGGGATTCAGATACAATTAGTTGCTAAAACATTTTGTTATACACAGTGATTGGTTTCGGGTTCTAGTAATGCTGTACTTCTGGGCACTGCAGGGTTCAGTACACTTTTGTGAGTGGGTTTCTAGCCACGACACAGCACTGTCTTGTGGGAAAATGGACTTCAAGAAGCTACTTTAAGAAACCTTGGAATTGGCTACAGTGTATCTACCCAAAGTCAACATGTCATCCATAGTGATCACAATGTTTCAAGTCACTGAAATGTCTTTTTCTTTTTCAGTTTCACTCCGGACTACTGTGACTGGGGACAACAAACTAACAGCTTCCTGGCACAACCGGGAACTTTGCCACCAGACTCAGTTTTGGATCCTGACAAACCAAGCCTTGGGTAGCACCAGTTAAGAGTTTTGTGGAAGACGCCTCAGTTGGAAGCTTCTAAAAGTTTCAGAAAGACTAACTTAATGACAGCTGAACTTTTAGGGCACTTTCCCTGACAAAAGTGGACTTGATTTTTATTTGTTACAGCCATTTCTAATGGCTCCAATAGGACTAAGCAATAATAACTTAGATTGATAAAAACTTATTTTAGTACTAAAACGGGAGCCTGGATGCCTATCTCAGTGGGTATAATTTAAACTTTAAGAAGTTCTGTACTTTTATAAAGATGTATTTTATATAACTTAAATAATAATGCTAAAATATACTAGGGGTTGAGAATGTTATTGCAATATGTGTTCTAGTTTGCACAGACTTTTATGCATAATTCACTTTAAAAGTATACAGTATATGGTCTGAAGGTTTTTCAAGGCTTTTGGACTAAAGTATTCCTCAAATCCTTACCTCTTCAGGTCACTCAGATTCTGAGCTCCGTGCTGGTAGACTCCAAATACAGCTCCAGTGTTGAAAGGTAGAATGTCAACAGATCACATACGAGGTAACCGGCTCCTTCAAGTTCATTAAGGCCCAGAGAGTCGATCCCTCCAAGAATCTTCTCAGTTTTGCTAAGTTTGGTACTCCTTTTCAAAAGGGTGCTAATGTATACACTCCAATGATAAGGTTAAAAATGTTGAGAGTTGTTGATTGAACTTACATTCTTAAAACTCCTCTGCTATCTTTCGAGATTTTGCACAGTTTTTCAGCAATGAAGTCTAATACCCATTACATCTCAGGACTTCGGCCAGACAGCACTTTCCCAACTCACTGACTGTTCACTACATGCAAGGAACAAAGGCGGCGTTCTCGAAAGGGGATTAAGAATAAATACGCCTGGCCCTGGAGCTAAGAGACTGTATGGAATCCTAACAGTTTCCCTTTAATTCCCAAACATATTTAAAACAATGCCCTTTATTTTAAAATAGTTCTGAAAGCAGCCCACTAGGAGCTGCGTGTTTAAAATGGGAAAAGCACTGCCATATTCTCTAGCATGATTTCTCTTAGTCACGTAAACGGGCAGGTTCCAGACAACCGCTTATAAGCCGTCTTTCATTTAAGCGAAACACTTGTCATGAAATACTAGTTCCCCCGACACAAGTGCCGTTCTGACACCTCCAAGAGATATGTAAACAGTATATATAATATATTCTGCAATTGTAACACTGCCTGTAACAGGAGACTGGCCCTCTAAAGAGGTTCAGTACTCTGATTTTCTATGAAACAGCGGTAAGGTACCAGAGCAAGTACTGTTTGCAGAGAGAAAGTCCTCGGCTCTGCCGGGAGTCTCATGGCTTGGGACAGTGAGGGCAGGTGGGAGGAACTTCTATCAGGAAGTTGTACCTACATGACGAAGTCCCTCTCAGATGAGATTTCCCGCTTTGGTCTTTAGGGATCATTTATCTCTGGGTGCTGATTTCATAGAGATCAAGTCTACTTCTCTTATCTTGATGGTATTTAAAATGGGGCTGTCAGGTTCTGCGTGGTCATGACTGGGGTTTTCATTTTCACTCTGCATCATCGCACGTAACATTCTCGCCTTTCAGTGTGGAGGAATTTGGGTCACGTATCACTTAAAATAGTTACTTTCAGGGGAAATTCTACACTGAAGCAAAATTTGCACTGATTTTTCAGGTTGCCTTAAGATATTTTAAGTGTTAATCTAAACAGCTCTAGGAACACCCTGACTTGTCACTCACTTGTCACAGTTTTTTTTGTTACGAATACTTAGGAGACTTTAAAGGCATACTCAACATATGCTTAAAACTCCTTCACATCAGGCTTTCAGAAAGTACTGCATTCTTCAGTATTAGCTCATTCCAGGGTAGATATATTTTTAAATACGGTGATAAAAATATCACTAAAACCATGCAATTATTATACGTATCCTATGATGTATAAACACTTTTATTATTATTGTTATTACTGGCAGGAAAATTGAAATACCCAGCATTAACTAGTAAAAGCTGTAATCTATTTTTATGATAAAGCTGCTAGTATTTATTTGAACTATTTCTTATTGGGAAGGATAAAAATGTTCTAAGTGCCTGTTTTTCTCTTCATCCCCTTTTTAAAAAGTAATGCTAAAGCACAAACACATCTAGACTATTAAGAACTATGTATCAAACTATCTTTGTCTGTAGTAAACAATCATGTATATACCCTGTGAAATGTTGCCAGTATGGATGGAAAGGAAAATGCAAATTTCCTTTAGCTTCTCCATTTACCTGTGCTGCTAAGTACACTAACCATGCGACTTTTATGTGAAATATTAAAGGCTAAGAGAAATCAAGGAATGGTGATTACTGGTTCTAAAGTTCCCAGATGTCCTCTTGTTTTAAGGAAGCATAATGAAATTAATGTTAAAACTTGATGGGGAATAGTCAATAGCCCTGGAAGTTGTTTACCTCCATGTAAGTGTGACTCAGCACTGAAAGGCTTCCGGCATCTACCGGAAATGCACAGAGACAATTAACTGCCGAAGTGGGCACCTCAGAAATCCAGTGGGTTTGTGTAGCCATCTTTCATTGGCTCTTTTTCCTTTTTACAATTAGCCCATTTAATTGAGCCAATGATTAAGGCGTCTGGAGCGTACTACACACACTGTGAGCAGCTCTGATTCTCGCAGTGTACGTATCAGCCACAGTTCTGTCCATTCTTACTTGAGTAGATCAGGCGTGGCGTTAGTAACTGTGCAGGCACCACATCTGGCTGTGTAGATCGGGCACAGTCACTGGTGCAGCCCCAGGTTTCCTCTTTTTACCAAAATCTGAAGAACTGCTTTTTGGTGGCCTTGCTCACTTAACCCCTATTAAGAGCAAAGGAATAAGCATTAGTAAACCCCGGAGCATGAGAAGTGCTTTGAGAAAAATTCCCATTTATATAGTTACATAGTGCTTACTAGAATATTGCTTTTAGTTTTTAGCAATAAAGGTGAACTTACATTAGAACTCAGTGGATCTAAATATTGGGTTGTCGGAAAAGTCATGACGTATTTTTTTCTGTTTTTGTTGCAAAAATGCGTCATTGACTTTTCCGACAACCAATATTTGAAACTTTGTAAAGATTTCCAACTAAAGAAACTCGGTTAAAAAAATACTTTTTCCCTTTAGATTACCACATGGTAAAGTATCAGACTAGGTCTGATTAAAGACATAGCTAATATGCATTTCCATTTTTTATCCCATGTGAGAATTTTAATTAAAAACATTTCGAACTGCATAATGCTACTTAAGACTTCTCATGGTCCAGAGGGAGGAGCTGTTGGAAAGAATCAGGCTAAAATAATGGAATTCTCATCAAAGACTAGAAATGAACTGATTAAAGTGAGGAAAGGGACAGAGAGGCTAAGGGAGTGGGAACCAGCCAGTGTGTGCCGAGTTCCTGTTATATGACAGATACAGGCTCGGGACTTGGTGTCTTTGGGGCCCTCCCAGTCCACAAATGCAGCAGCGCCCTCCCCTTCACCCTACGCTTGCCCGTAGCAGGGTCTCTGAGGAGCCCCTGCACCAAAGGGTCACCAATACCTTGAAGTCTGCTAGTGATGTCCTTGTGCCTCCAACTTCAATCTGCTGATTCCCCATCCCTGTCGCCCAGCTCCTCTGGGCCCGGGCACTGAGGGTGGGTTCATTCTGTGTGAGGTTCTGAGACTTGCTGCCCAGGTTTGTCAAGTCCGGGCTCAGGCCTCAGACCAAATCCAGTGACTCAACAGCACCTAGTGGTTCCTACCTGGTCCCTACAAAGGTGGATTCCTTACCTCCGTTCCTTGACCTGTGGCAGGGACCCATCCTGTATCTCCCCAGAAATTGACTATACCTTTTTGCCAGCATTCCTTCTTGAGCCCCAAAGCTGCCTGGCCTGCCCTGCCACTCAGCATATTAGACTGTCTCTAGAAGACCTGCCTCTGAGCTTTAGCCTGGTCAGAACTCGAGCTCAGATGCCAGCTCCCCTCAGCGAGCTCTGTGACTGGCTTCTCTTTAGCCTACAGGAGCCACACAACCCCTCCTCCTCTACTGCCCGGTCACTAGGTCCTTTTCTTGACTCTGAATCTGTTTCTCATGAACATTGTTAACCTACAACAGCCCCTCCAGTCTCCTTGCAGTTCCAAGTCCTGGAAGGCAGTAACTGAGGCATCAAAGGGTACATTTGGCATAAACAAGCAGTGCTTTACCAGGGCCACGCGATTTGTGTCACTGGTATAGTCTGAAGAAATCCACATGGAAAGTTAAATTGTATCAGAATACTACATGGCGAATGCTCACTCTGCTTTGACCAAAGGGTGTTAGGGGGACGATTTTAATTAATTTTAATCAATCTGTGACAACTTGCTGGCACTGTCAGGCAGACACAGATTCACCTTGCGGGCACCTTCTCAGCTAGATAGGTTTCTATCTTAGCTTTTCCTCTTCAACTGATAGACTCTCTCTCTCTCAGTGCATTCTCACTGTAAATGAGCTGTAACCTAGTCAGGTTATGGAATTCGTCAATTCCACGCTGGCCGGGATCCTTGTCTGTCTGTTCATGCTGCATCTCCAAGCCTGGAACGGAATGAGCCGTCAGACCCTGCTCTTTGGGTAGACCTCGCTTTTAAGGTGACTTGTGGCACTTTTATCCACCGCATATTGACTTTATAGGTTGCATACTAATTTCAGGGCCCCTATTTTTTTTATGAATCTTTGACAGAAATCCAGCTTTTGGACAAAGAATTCATGATGGAATAAAAAAAATATGGATTCTCTATATAGTTCTCAAATTATTCTTAGAGGCTAAGTCTTAAAATGGAAGCTGTGAGATAAAATTCTGCCCACCCAGGCACTACACATCCTGCCTCTGTTTGCCCTCACCTGTTTAGCACTGGCAAATAGAATACAGAAATAATTATCACAACAGGCAGTAAAAAGTAGGTCTGTATCAGGGAAGTATCAGATTAAAAGACCAGTGACACATTAAATGGTGAAAAGTACAATCCTTGAGAGAAGACACTGAGTCGGGTAGAGTTTTAGCAGGATCCATTATGTTAAAGGATTTTTTTTTAAGCTCATATGGAATATACAACAACAGCTAAAGAGAATTGTTAAAAAAAAAAAAAAGGAAAAAAGAAAGATGAGAATGAGACAGGCCCAGTGCACCAAATATGAAAACACAGACCCTGAGTAATTAAAACAGTGTGGTCCTGATACATGAGTACATAGACCAGTGAAACAGAGAGCCAAGCTCTGAGGGAATTTTAGGTATGATAAACGTAACATCCCGCACTAGTAAGGAAAAGATGAACAGTTCAATAAATGATATTAGAATAACTGGGCAATCATCTGGGGAAAAATTAGGTTGGATCCATAACTTACACCTCATGCCAGGATACACTCCAAAGGAATAAAAATTTAGATTAAAAAAATTAAGCCATAAAAATTCCAGAAGAAAATACAGGTGAATTATTGCTGTGGAATGAAGAAGGCATTCTGACTTGCGGTCCAGAAACCACTAAAAAAATTGATGAACTGCATAAAAATGAAAATTTGCATGGCAAAACCATCATAAGCAAAGTCAAGACAGACAACACATTGAAAAAAATTTACAGCTCATTACAGTGAAAGGATTAATATTCCTCACCAATAAAGCACTCTTATAAAGTCATAAAAAGATAAAAATGGCAAAAGATGTGAACATAAAAGGTAATCCAAATGTCTCTTAAACATGATAGTCACCTTACTTGTAATGAGAAAACTACAAACTAAAACACTGATATGTAATTTTGCATCTATCACAATGGCAAAAATCCAAGTTTTTAACAACATCTGTGTTGTAAGGTTGTGGGTAAGTGGGCACTGCCTAAATTGCAGGTGGGTTATATGAATTGTTAACCACCCCCTATGGAGGCCAGTATTCTAATTTCTTTCAAAATTACAAATGCATATGTTCTTTCACTGAAAAATTTCATTTTGGGGAATTTATTCTACAAGTACATATTTATATATGTATGAAATAACATATACAAGGTCTGAAAACGATCCAAATACCCAATAGGGAATCGGTTAAATGACTGTACATTCATATAATGGAATCCCAAGTAGTTAAAAAAACACACACAAAAAAAACAAGTAAGCTATCTAGTGATATGGGAAGATTGTCAAGAAAAATTAAGTCAAAAAAGCAAACAGTATGTATATGATGCCACTGTGTAAAAATGAGAAAAAGAGTTTACATTTTTAATTGCTTGTACATGCCTAAAAAAGTTACGGATGGAAACAAAAAACCAATAACAGGTTATTTGTGGGGGAGGGTGTGCAGGAGGGGAAGTTGGGCCAAGGACAGAAAAAAGACATCTCATTGTACAGCTTATACTTTTCGGTTTTTGAACCATGTGAATGTATTACGTATTCAAACAATTAAAATAAGTATATTTAAAAAGCCTTGTGACTCAATACAATTCAAAAGGTGCTAAAGGTCCCCGATTTTGAGTGGAATGGCACTAAGCCGTCTTACAAAATCACACAGACACAGCACATTCAGAGAGGACGCCCTGGAGTCAGACTTTCTGGTTTCAAATTCTAGTCCCACAACCTAGAGGGTGACTATGGACAAGTGACTCAGCCTGTCATCCTCAGTTTTCTAATGTATAAGTTGAGTGAATGTGCCTGCTACTGGGCTGCTGTGAAGATGAAACAATCCGTGCACAGCCTGTAACCCAGTCGCTGCCATGCTGGCTATTACGACGATAAGAAGGAACAACTCACAGATGTTCTCCCTTCTCCACCAATTATAATCCAATCCTCATCTCAAAAAGGGAAATATTTAAAAGGCAGGAAAAGAAACAAGAAAGAAAGATGGCAGGAACATTTACTTTAATTCACATTTCCTACTACATGGTGGGTACATCACATTATTTGCAATTCTGTTCAAAATCCAAGGTTTACCTGTAGATATTACTAAAATAGAGCACACACAAATTTGTGTGTCTGTATTGTTTTATCAAATAATTTCCATGATGCCATGCACCCAGTCTGTGTATTTTGGTGAGTAGCTATGGTTTCTGCAGGTACTTCAATTTCAAACTGCTGAGACGTTTACTGTGAACTGTTCCCAAGTTGCCAGGAGAAGGCAGGCTGTTGAAGATCAAAAGAGCTGTCCTTTCTTAGATACAGTGGCACCTAGGGAAAGCCGGAAAATGTGGCACAGAATTTCATATGTACACAGGGATTACAAGTAGTAATTCACAATGTGAAAACATCAAAACATTTGACGTATCAAATTTCAAAACTGAAAACTATTATTCTGTCCGATCTTCCTCATAATCTAAGAATCAACACAGGAGAAATATTCACATTTTACCAACTTTAATATATAGTTTTTCTAACTTACATAGATGCCACTTAAGAAAAAACCAAAACAAACTCATGCCATTGAAGGAAGGGATCTTTTCCTCCTCTTCATTACTTCATCAGCTGGTACAATCATTTCTGTCAGTGCTGGATTATCAAGTGCTGGATTTTTAAATTAGGTGATGAGATAAGACAAAATGCCGAGAGGTATTACCAGCCAAGCATTTTTACAAAGCAACCAGTACTTTAGTATCACTACACAACAAAAACTATGTGAATTGGAAAAACAGCTTATATAACAAGGACCAAAAAACATCACCAGGCCCACAAAACAAAGATTCCTACAGCTTAACAATCATTTAAGAAATACACACATACACAAAAATGGAGGCTGCCCCCCACAATCTAATTTATGGTAATATAACCAAATTTCAGCTTAAGAATACTTCATTTATTTTCTTGGTAGTGAAAAAATTTGTTAAAACTTTGAAAAGAACTTTTAACCCTAATTAGACCTTTTAATTTCCTAGCACTCACTCTAACATACAATTTTTCCTAAACTTCAAATCACTGTAAAGAAAAAAAGCAATAAATGGAAATGGCCAAGGATTTTCTGCAATAAACAGAGTTTTAATAATAGCCTTTATCTTTAATAATGGAACACTGAAGTAACACTACCAAAAAGATGTTTCAACTTATAGTAAAAATAGACAAGTGCAAAACTCACATTTTCTTAAACTTTGAATGAACACTAAGAATAATTCTTATTAATTTACCAGCAAGATTACTTAGATATTCACTTTTTAGACAAGTTTACCGTAAGGTCGCCCTCTCCCACCATACAATAAACATGAAAACGAGGAGGCGGCTCTAATCAAGCCAACCTGTTTCATTCGACTTACCACTCCCCCCACCAAAACCCTGGATCTATAAAGGTTAGAAATGGTAAGAAATTAGTGAGACCTTACTCTCTCCTACCATAGCCCTGCCTCCTAGGGTGACTAAATATTTTTAAAAGAGGGGTGAGCCAACTAAATACAATTAAAATACATCACTAAGTCATCAATGAGCACATTTCTGACTTTGGCAGGAGAAGATACGGGTTTAAGAGCACTTGTTTATTTCGTAGGAGACTGAAGAATCTAAGGAAAAATGACTTCCACACAGATGCAATCTTCCAAATGAACCACATTGTATCTACTAACACCTTTTTTAAGAATACTATTTTAACTATTAAAGATATTTAAATCCAGGTTTAGAAAATGACTGTTTAGGACTGAGTCATCTATTGGTACAAGTCACATGAAGTACCATTTATATACACTGAACTAAAATGAAAAGGCAGAGAGACGGGAAGCTTAAAAGAGGCTTGAACTAATCTACCTGCTTAAATATCCTATGAAAGCAAATCAGATTGAGAAGATTGCATAGATTGTATTCTAAAATAAAATCCTTTAAAAATGCTTATTCTAATTTAAAATAGTAAATTCTGTGCATATAATGTTTTAAATTGGCATTATAAATTCATAAAATCCCATTCAAATTTAATCAAGATGGAAACTTAAATATTTATGCTTTTTTTGTTTTTTGGTTTTTTTTAGAGTAAATGAAAATTTCTAAAACTGGAGTAGGAACAAAGAAACGCAAAATTTAAAAAAAACTGATTTCTAAGTTCTAAGTAAGGAGTCCTCCTGAGCCAGCCCACTACACACAGGAAATCTGGCTGGTGGCATAGGGGACAGTCCTTATTCACCTTGACCAACGCAGGTACTTTAGACCAAAACAAAACAGCAAAAACAGCAACTACAAATTTAACTCAAAGCCAGTGAAACTGAAGTTGAAGTCCTGGGGATTCTTAAGTAACTTCTAGAACTATACACTGAAAGGGCTTTCATCATGCTGACACTTCCATATTGTAGAAGGTGACACAGAGCTAGGCAAGGTGAGACACACATTTAAACATCATTGATAAATCGTTATCATTGAGACCAGCCCTAAGCAACATTAGTTCCCTAGCTCTCCTTTTCCATAACAGACTGTTAACAGTGTTATTAGGATGGAGACATTGTCATTTCAGTTTGACAACTGGAAATACAGCAGAATAAGAACAAAAGCAATTCTGAACAGAAGAGCAAAATATTCAATAGATGAAAACATGAAATTAAACAGAATTAGTATAACATATGTTTTAAAAGTATATACTTCATTTATAAATACCTCTAATTGATAGTCTATTACGAATCATAAATATTCAAGTGAACATTTGAACTTTCTCTTTCAGAGTTCAGAATTCTCAAAGTCTTTGATGATTAGTCTCCTTTTGCTGAATGTCCAAGAGTAAAAGTCTTCACACAGTCACTTTATGTCTCTAATTAGACATATAAAAGCCTTTATTACCTACTGTGTTGTAATAAGACTTTAAAATTCTGTAATTCTCTTATACTTGTAGAAAGCCTGTAGGAGAAAAAAAGCATATTAGTCCAGCTAATATGATATGTACATATTTCAAATGACGGACATTGTTATATGGGCTATAATATGAAAGCAAAATCCAAAATATACAACACTGAATACCAAAGCTTCTATTTTTAAATAAGTATGCTGTAATTACTTATTAAAGATTAATAAAACACATAGTTATGGTTCTTTAGTCTTGGTTTACAAGCGGCAAAGGAAGTCAGTTGCTTATTAATAAATTTTATATTAATGATGGGAACAGTGATGTGAATAATTCCTTACAATAAAGGACTTCAAAACATTTACGTTTAGTCTATAAATTCATTTTGCATGTTCCTCTTCAAACGTCCGCGCCTTTCTTGTTGCCCCCAAGCACATGAATTTGTTTTATTCTGTTAGCTCCACAATCTTTAAGGGCAAAATTCTGTTATTTTTTTGTCTGCTGCTGAATCCTTGTGCCCTGTACCCATCAATGCTTATGGTGTTCAGTAAAGAAGGAATGAATGAATGAATGAATGAATGAATGAATGAATAAATAAAATGCCTCTGGGCCCACATCCAGCAGTAAAACTCTGGAATGAGAATCACAAAAAAATAATTCTACAAGCTCAATTATCCTTTTGTAGAATTCAGGGTAGATACAGTAAAATCTAATGTTTTCTTTCTATAACTTATACAGTATTCAGTTCCTTTCTTTACACTAAGTACTTAATAAAGGATAACTTCTATCAAGAGCTTAGGATATGCCAGGCAATGTTCTGAGCACATCACACATTACCTCATTAATGGTAAAAAAAAAAAAAAAATTCTACAAGGTAGATAAAATTAACTCTGATTTTACATTTTAGGAAAACTGAGGCTCAAATAGATCAAGTAATTTTCCCAGGGGCACCCAGCTAGGAGGTACGTTCATCAAATCCCACGACCGTGTGGCCATTCAAAATATCTATGCTCTCTACGGTCTCAAAACCATTATCTTCACACTCTGACAAGTCATGGGATTAATAGAAAATGAATTCTTACTCTAATCCTCAAAACATTAAAGGATTAAAACAGTTTAATTATTAGGAAAAAAACAATATGATACTAAACAAAATAAATGTGTAAAGTCATATGCTGTATCTCAAAGTAACTGTTGAAAGAAACCCAAAACCTATCAAACTATATATGAAGATGCAGTAAAAAGACCAAGGCCTAACTAACTACAGAAAAGAGCTTAGTAAATAGAAGTGCTCAGAATGAAAAGTCATGCTCCAAGTCTGATTTAGACACAAATGGAGAGGGTCAGAGAGCTCAAAGGTTATCGTACAAATTAACTGCGGGTGAGTCCCTTCTCCCAGGAATACAAACTGACCAGCACTGTATGGACCATGACAGCACAGTCTCTGTGGAGATGCAGTCCAGGCCTCACAATTTATCCCCCAAGATATCTTTCACGTTCCCTGTGATTATGGTAAGGTTGACACAGGAAGGCACACAGCATGCCTGCATCTGTCTATTGCTTCACCCTTGCACAGGGGCACTAAGCTATACTGAAACATCCAACAGATACAGTAATGTCCTATCTTTATTCCCCGGAAAATAAACCACTTGATGTTAAGTGTTGAAACTATCAAAACATGGCTGTTAGTGTAGGAAAGATAATACAGAGTAGTCAAGATAAAGACACGACATTTCCCAGGGTCCAGTGGCTAGGAGCCAAGACAATGCCCACTAGCATCATGTGACAGAGAAACATGTGCTGGGTGCCCTGAGGTAGAACTGGATTAATAGGTCGTCAGCCAGAAAACTACCCGTTCATTTAAGACAGACTAATGCATAATAAACTCCCCAAAGTGTGACATAGGAATTTTGTGGGTTGTGCCCCGAAAATCATTTACTATTTAAATGGACTGATAATTAGGTGGAACATAGAAAGAAGTTAACAGATCCAATTAATTATTAAGAAAAACTATAACATTCTTTAAGGAAGAATAAGTGTATAGAATCTATATGAAGGAAACAATAAAACCTGACTGAATATAAAAGGAGAATGGCTAAGTAAATTTTGATCTGTCCATGTAATAGAATATTGGTATATATCAAAAATAATGTCTATGAAAAAATTTTAACAACATTGGGAAATGATTACAATATATTCCAAGTAAACTAGAAGAAAATATACAAAAAGTATGCTTTCAACTCTGTAAATATACACACACACACACACACACACACACACACACACACACACACATATATACATACACACACATACATATATGTGTTACTTTTTTTATTAGTGGGGAAATACACATCAAAAATACATCAAATGTTAAAAGAGTACTGGGTGGTAGGGATATGAGTGATTTTTAAATTTATTTTTAAAATTATACTTTCATATGTTTTTCCAAGTTTTCTATAAGGACTGTGAATTACTTTTATAATTGGTGTGTGTGTAAGGGGGGAGATAGCTATTTTAAGGAGCTTTAAAAAGCAGATGGATAAACTGTGACTTGTTTTTCCCTGGGGAGGAAATAGGAGATTAGGCTGTACCTTGTGTCACCATCCACCTCAGTGTCATTACCATTAAGAAAACAAAGGTTTCTCACATCTAGTTTAGTCAGGAAAAAAAAAAGACAATTTTTTAAGTATTGAAAAATAAGAGCACTTCACAGCCAATGGTGCTTGTGAATCACCCTCATCACCGCCCCACTGCCATGGGGCCCAGGCTGTGTGTTGGGTTTAAGAAGTGCTGTCATGTACAATCACGCTGTTTCTTCACGTTAACTCGGAGAGGAAGGTTTGGACCCGCCCCCTTTTACAGAGCAAGGAAACAGCTGTTAGAGGGAAGTGATGGGCCTGAGCTCACACCTGCGGAAGTGGCAGGGCCAGGCTCCAGGCTCTGGGAGCCCCGACTCTGATCAGCAGGCTTCACAGAGAACTAAAGCAGGAAGGTCACATTTACGAATATTCTTTATGAGAAATTTTTGAGGAAGTTAACATCTGCTTCTCAATTAAATTTTATTTGGATTTAAAATGTTTACATTGTTTAAAATCTCCACTTAAATTTCATTTTCAATTATTTAAATTTGATTGTTTCTCCTGTTTTATCTTCCTACAGGCCTCATAAGTGGGTGGGCTGAATTTTGCATGAAACACCCATTACCGATGGACAGTCTATGTCTATGTAGTTTGAAACCTTAACCTACAGAGTCATCTCTTTAAATACAGGGGAGCAACAGGTGACATCCCTGCTATTAAGACAGGGAAGGGGCAATTCACTTATTTTTAGTTTAGCTGCTTCTTTTTAACTTAAAAATGCATGCTAACTAAACATAACAAATAATCTCTGTATCACTTAGTTCCTTATTTAAAAAAAGTTCTTCCTTGACTTGACTTTCCCCCCCGCCAGAGCATAGTATTATTTTCTCTTATTTTCTATGATTCTGTCCCTTCTGTATTCCTCGGTTGGTTGGTATTGCATGCATCTCTACAGGCAAATTCAACTTATTTTTGAAGCCATCTGTGGTATAAACAAAAAGCAAACTATATATCTGTATATAGAAAAAAAAATGGAGTCAGCGTGAGTGAAAGAAAACTGTCTCCTGGGTTTAAGAAATAAGAGAGTTGAAAGGTTTCCTCTCTCTCTTTCATTACCTTCCCAGCCAAGCTCTCCTCACCCCTGTGCTATTGCTCTTGAACAAGTGACAGCAGCTGAAGAGGATAATATTATAGGGAGAATATTTCCCCACACAAATGGGAAGGCAAACTGAGAAATCCTGGCAACACAGAAATGCTGTGAGCTGTAGAGAAATTGGCTTGTGAATACAGGGGTGATAACATATGATCATAATTCTCTTTATCAACAAAATAAAGCAAAACGAACCACTTTAGCAGAGATGACCTTTGCAGTTGGCTGAAACCCGCAGAAGACTCAGTCCTTACCTTCCAAAAGCATTTAAAAGAGCAACTATTTCCTGTCGGGTGAGTTGGAAGCCTTTCGATGGGCTGTTTTCTGGAAGCTTTTGGATTTCTTTTTCAGAGAATAATATCTTCAGGGCAGTTCCTAAGCCCTGAGTCTAAAGAAAAGTGATAAACTTACAGTTAAATTCAGACCATAACTACTCTAAAGGCTTAAAGGCGCGGTCTCTGTGATGAGTCAGGAATGCACAGGAACTGAACTTCACCAAAATGTTAAACGAGGCAAAATACCGTTTCTACTTCCTCATGGATTTATGCACATAATAAATTTACCTAAACTGTTAAGGAAACTTGAATAGTTTAACACTTGCTAGACACATATCATACTACTCCAAATTACTAAAATGCATTTTTTTTAACCTAGAAAGTGTCACATTAGGATTACAATGTTCAATATGTAACCTTGAACCTATAAAGCATTCTTCATAGCCCCTAGCAACTCAAAACTTAGAAATTATTAGTGATACCTTACTTAATAATTTCTCGATTATTAGCTCTAGAAAAAAAGACAAATCTGATTTCAGTGTAGCTTCTATTAAAATAATGCTATCTCTTGATTTTCTATGACTTATTGTTATCTTTGTAAAAAACAATAAGAAATAAAATATCAATTCTTTTACACTGAATATAAAGGGAAGAAGGCCTGGCTGGCAGAACTTTCCTATTTGTTGATAGGTGGCCTTCTTTTTGATCATTGAAACAAATTCAGTGACCAAAATTCTATAATTAAGCCTTTGTATATAATTATATTTTATCTTTTATATAGGTATATACTAATATATTTTATAACCACCTTCAGAAATGAATCTGAGATTGTATCAATAGAAACAGATAAAATAAAACCCAATCATTAACACAGAAAAACAAAAAATATTGGGTTGTCGGAAAAGTCATGACGCATTTTTGCAATGAAAAACATAGAAAAAATATGTCATGACTTTTCCAACAATCCAATACATCCTTCACATACACATGTAACACAGTTTAATATTAAAATTTTCATCAATACAGAAAAACCACACTTAAGATCTCTAATTCAATGAACAATGAGGATATTTTAATAAAAGCTTTCAACTCCTCAGTGGAAAAATCTAAGATTAGTAATAGTTTCAAAACAGAAGGCAACACACAAACCTGCAATTTCCCCCACAATCTGCATTTGTCACATCCAACACAGTCCATTATGCGGGAGATATTCTTGAAATGTAACCGGAATTCCTCCTAACATGCAGAAAATATTTGCATTCTAATTAGATGTTTAAAATGAAACTGCATTTGTCTGAATTATAAGAAATAAAAGTTTTGAAGTTTATTAATGACTGAATTGTGTTTTTCAACAGTGAAGAGGAAAATTATTTGAATTTGTATAGCATAACATGGCACATAAAACATCTGACATTAACGTTAATTTACAAAATTCATTCCACATATTAATTCAACAAAGCACCAACATATGCATTTTGAGGGACACAAAAGTAAATAATACATGGTTTTTACTTTTACAGAACTTAACTGCTTCCATTTGACATCTCCATACAACCAGTGGTAATGACAGCTATATTATATTTCAAACAGAATATAACACAGCTAGAGTTGATGCATTCCTTTGTGTGAGTCTAAGCCAACACTCGTCCTAGAACACAGCTAATCCCTACCTCTCTCAGTACCTCATGGTGTTTGTAATGGGTGCTGCGCCAACATCGGTGGTCTCAGGGCTGTGCGAGGGGCGCAGTTTCAGCCCCACATTTGCCAGTGCAGCTTCCCAGGGCGCCAGCTTCCTGGACCCTTGTATTTTGCTATCTTAGCCTCCTGTACAGGGAGACTCCTGCCTGTGAACATCTGTGCATGTTTCTATGACTAAGTTCAGCCTCACTTTATCTAAGGATGACACTAGTTAAGAGAAAGTTTCCTTATCTTTTACATGTAGCAAACTAGGAAATAAAAATCATTTTATTGTGTTAAGGTGAACATTTTATTGCATGAAGCTAGAGGCGGGTGGCCGGAACACTGGCCACCACGAGCCCTGTCCAGGGTTCTGAGGAACCAGTCCCTTGGCCAAAAGGCAGGCAATAAAATGGACCACAAAACTCCTTACTCTCATGTAATTCATGTTCTGCCTTGGAAATACAGATGGAAAATGGACTTAGGTTTTCCTTTACACACCTTTGAAAAATAGCAAACAAATTTTCTGCATTTTGTAGCTGAAAGCTAGTTATTAAAACTCAGTCCTTTCTCAACTTTACCTTCATCTTCTACAGAAAGATAAATAATTACAGTTGTCTCACAAAGGCGTTGGGAAAATCAAAAGTGTATTTGTATAAACACTTAGAAAATAGGAAGCATTACAAAAATAAATTAACATGATATTAACTACTGTAATAGCAACATACCTCTAAAACAACTATAAAACAAAACAACCTTCCAAAACTATAGTTGTGGGTAAATTATTTACTTCATTTCAGAAACACCAAGAAACTCTTACAATAGAGAATCACTCAGTGCTAATTTATTGATTCTTGTAGTATACCCACATCTAAAACATCATGGGGCCAAATGTGTTTCAGAATTCAGAATTGTTCAGATTTTAGAAACACAGTACATACACTATTTATTACAAAACACCCCACCAGGGTGTGTGGCAACACCTTTTAACCAAATATATTAATGTTTTTGCAGCAACATGTAAGAATAGTAACACAAATAATTTTTTAAAAAACACTATAAATATTCTGACAGGTCAAGTTTTGCTAACAGGTTAATTTACACCAAACATAAGAAAAATGTTTCCGTTTTTGGAGCTTTCTGGATTTGGTAATTGCATATTAAAGATTGTGGAGCTGTACTAGAAGACTATTTGCCAGCCAATTTCAAATACTTTTATAACATTTTAAGGGTACAATGTATTCCTTAATGTACTTACTGTAAGCAAATGAAAACAAGGACCTCCTAACATGAAGTTTCATGATGTTCCTTTAGACATCACAAGATAACAAGTAATTTTTACCTTTTAACATTAGTCCATCAGGACAAAAACAATAGTTTCATAAACTGTAACACTGCATAAAATAAACTTGAGGAAAATATATTATTGCCTTCAAAGTGGTTAACAGCTGATGATCTTTTGAAAGATGCATCAAAACAATACACCCTGTGATTTTAAAGTAAGAAAACTCTCAGAATAATATATACCTCTAAAAAGTCACTTACAAAGGTGCCATACTTGCTGGTCATAGTAATGACTGAGGACTCACTAAGCAGCTGGTGAAAGAGAAAGGCACTGAGCAGTGGGGAGCAGGGGCTCTGTGTATCATTGAGAGTAAACTCCAGTCAGACCAACTTCAGCAAGACGGACAATTGGGGAAGGGGGTTCAGACGCACAGGATTAACACACAATCAGGAAGCTGTTCCCCACCCCGTCCTCCACTCAAGAACTCCTTACCTTTAACGATTTGGCTCCCTTTTTGTCACCTGCGAACATGGATTTCTCGTCAAAGTGCATGGGAAAAGACCTGATGAAATGACAATACTGCAAGTTACAGACGAAAAAAAGTACTAGACAAAAAAAGCATTAGAGCTCTGGTAGAATTTTTCTATTCCTACAAATATCTAAAATGCATGACTTACTCATGCAATAAGGCTTAGTAACAGGAAGGTGGCAAATAGTCCACATATAAACTATTCAATAAAGGACTAAAGCAAGATAATGATGGCTTTATAATGTATAAGATTGTAATGTTTTAAATTATATGATAAAAATAATGTAAAAAATTAACTAAAAACAATTTATGTGAAAAATGTGCAACACTCTATTAACATTTTAAAGCATCTTTTAAAATTTAATGCATAATTTACTTTAAACACTTCTTAAACCAACATTTCTCCATGTTCATGTTAACACCCACTAAATTCAAGTTTTATAGACCCTGCTTTTTTTTTTTTAAAGCATTATATTCTAGGAAGTTATATTCTAGGAAGTAAGGCTAATGTTCCCTTAGGTATCTATCTTTATGCTAACATCTGATATCATCTGAATTTAAATAGCAACTGCAGAATACAAAATTACAAAATTGGTAGGAAGAACATGAAAGTCGCATTACACATTGATACTACACAAAATTGAAAGTTATATTGGGCTGTCGGAAAAGTGATGATGCATTTTTGCAACAAAAAAACAGAAAAAATACGTCATGACTTTTCCGACACCCAATATTTGAAAACATAGCCTAGTCTCAAGTGTGAAAGTCTGCAGTGACACTTTATTGATGATTTTCAGTTAACATTTTTAGAAAAAAGTTTAAATACTACTGTTCTATTGCTATTTCCTTCTCAGTTCTAACTCTCCCTTTTCCTAACTTTTTGGAGCCAGTTTTTATTGTATATCAAGCACTACCTCATTCAAACAGAGCAGAGAATTTCAGAGCACTGACACGCGATTCTTACTTTGTATCTTGAAAGATATCCAGTAGGAGGGTTTTTGTGTCAGCATCATCCTCTACATTTCCAGTGTAAAGATCAACAATTGAGCGCTCAAAATATGGGGCCACCTTTGATAAAGCTCTAAGCTCAATTAAGTATAAAAAGTAGAGATTCTTTAGCCTTCTTGGACCTTCTCCCTTGGTTTCCGCAGGGTCAAAGCGGCGTTTAAATTCTTTGATATTTGGTCCCCAGCTAGGCTTACCCCAGGTTTCTAAGGAGAAAGAGAAATACATCATATACTTCTAATAGCATTTTCTTCTCTACATATTTTCCCCAACAAGTTTTACACTAACAGAAAGCAAAATTTCTATGTAAAAATCTGATTACCTTCCAGAAGATAATTCGCGCATAGATGTAAATTGATACTAGCATGAAGTCCTGATATAAGCTTATAGAAGACTCTTTTCTCTAGACATAAACCTATTCAGAAAAATAGTGAAAAAGAAATCACAGCCATTTAGATAACAGAAATACTAAAAATTCAGTACCCAGCTTAGTTTTCAAGTTAAGATTCAAGGACATTAAAAATAAATCAAGGGATAATATAAAATAATTAGATCAAGGTCTCTCACTAGAAAATAGGATTCTGACTTCAGAACGGAGTGAACTGAATATGGTAATTTAATGCAGAATAACAGAAAGTGTTGGGTCACTGGACGTCCAACACTATGGATGAACTCGGCAGGCTCCCATGTTACCTAGAAGGCAACAACACCGATTTCCATGGTTTAGGCTAAGCTAAAGCAAATGTAATTATACAGTCACTGTTTTGTTGTTACAATAGCTGTTTCTCCTTCTCCCCTCCCTATAGAGGTTCTTTCTTTGAACATACTTGGTAATGGAGGAAGAACAGACTGAATTGTTTCTCTCCAGTTCTTTAGTGTCATATTAATTCTCTGCCCTGGAATTCTCTAATGCTACTTAACCATGTGTCCCACTTGTAAGGAGCCCAAACTTGGAAAACAGTTTACCATGTGAGTAGAATCATATCAGATGGGAGTTCAGGAATATGATGGAAAATTATTTGGTGTAACCTTTTTTTTTTTTGAAGATTTTATTGGGGAATCGGGGAAGGGAAACAAGACAACTTGCTGTCCTTTTGTTCTTCAGTCTAGTTGTGGATGACATCGCTTCACTGACCCATGTTGGTATTATCATTGTGCTCTTCCCGGCTGAGGCAGTCGCTCTCTGGCCACTGGACGGCCTCTCACGCCAGCTACTGGCCACTCATGCTGCTGCCCGCCACTCACGGTATCTTACAGCAGCCCACCGCAGCAGGGGCTGCAGCCTACGCCTGCGACTCACAGCAGCCCAGCTCCAGGTCGAGCTGTTGTTCACCATCTTAGCTGTAGAGGGCGCAGCGTCACTGGCCCTCATGTGGGATCCGAACCAGGGCCCTGCTGCTCAGAGCTGGTATCCCAAGCCAACTCTTAACCAATGTGCCACTTGGCCGGCCCTGGTGTAACTTTAAGTCACACAGGCTTTTGCTCAAAACAGATGTCAAGATAATTCCACCATCCTATCCTACCTTTGCCTCTTTAAAAGATTTTCTCTTATTATAAGAGTAATACGCATTGTGAATGTACGTAATGCCATTAAGTAGTAAATTTAAAAATGGTTAAAAACAAATATACATGTTATGTATATTTTACCACAATAAAAAAGAAAAAAGAATATTTTTAGAAAATATTCTTTATAGAAAAATTTAGAAATAAAAACATGTAAGTTTTAAGAACCTACTGGATATGTAGAGCAATAAGCTTCTTCCCTCCTTTACCACCCAACAGGACTTTGTTTTTGACACGTTAGCTTTTTTTTTTACACTCCCCATGGTGGAAAAATGGAAAATGGGCTTCAATAGTGGAAACTAAGAAGTAACCTCATTTATATGTTGAGGGATTTTTAAAATGTTAAGAGTAGACATGTGGCTTACTTTGCATATTTTCAAGATCTTTTAGAGCCCCATTTACTCTCTCTTTATGTTCTACCACAGATGGCTCGGAAGGAAGTACTTCTCACAGGAAAAAATAATTATTTTGAGATCTCATTCCCTAATTCAGAATTTTTGCTAGAATATTCTCATTGTCATGGGTAGAGACCCAAAAGTGGAAATTAAATTATATTTTGTAGTTTGCTCCTAAAAGTATATGGCCAATTTGGAATATTTACGGTAACAAGGGATACAAACTATATGAATAAAGTTGTTAAAACATTAGGTACAAACGTCTCCTCTAGTAAAACTTCTAATTGAATCTGTTATCAAGTAGCAAAATGATCAGATTTCAAGTTCTTTCTCTTTCTTTTCCTTCCCACCCAACTCTGTGAGTCGAACTTACATCCAGTAAAAAATGTCCAAAGACTAGAGAAGGGAAAACAGTCAAAGCAAAGCTGTGAAGATTCACACGCCTAAATATGAGACTGTGGAAACCTAGGAGGCAATTCTAATTCGAAAGTCCACAAATCCCCTTGCTGAGATGGGGATGGGGAAAAGTGAAGAGGGAGGGGTAGAATGCACTTCCATATATGTGAAAATCAGGTAACTTCAAGCAAAATGGTAACAATAAAAGTGTGCCGACTGGTGTACCAAACAAGACACACGGCATACTTAGCAGCTGCCCCTGCCTGCAGCCTGCTGCCACGCCCGGGGCTACCTCTGACTGCTGAGGTCCAAGCAGACGCCTTCAGTCCCACACTTAAGTCATGACCCTCAGTCATAACAATACAGAGCAAATTCAACTATCCCACTTTGAGAGTGGTTCTCCTCTCCTTTTGCATTTAATTTCATTCAAATTCATGTTCAGCAATTTAATTAGAGGACATGGATATATCATGTTTTCTTTCAGAAAAGGGTAGATTTACTGTGCTATCTGGCATGTGGACATTGCTTAGTGGTTTTCAAGGCAAGTTTTACAGGCATGATCTACACTCATAATTGGATGGCTACTGCCACTCTCCTGCCCCAGATGAGGAGACTGAACCTCAGAAAAGTTCAGTCAGTTGCCAATTTATAAATAAATATGAGCGCTCTCCAACCCCGTATCAGTCCTCAGGACGCCCATCAGTCGGACCCCAGGAGAGTGGCTGACACAGTGGGCCCTAGAATCTAATATTGCCCAGAAATGTCATTCTCTTCTTTGATTACAAATATTCAGTTTGACCACCTTTTTTAACCTAAATATCACTTCTCACAATTTGTATCTTTAGAATAAAGCTAATTAAACAAAGTAAGCATCTTCTTTCACAGAGGTCATTGTTCAATATAATTCCTCGCAGTATTTGCACATTAATAATGTTTACCTTAATAATGGCCCATATATGCACACAGTTCATTAAAAACAAAGAGAAATCATGTTCATAAGATAGCATGACCGAGTAACAAAATATTATAGAATGAACTACTTAGCTTAACTCTGTCGAGTTCCTATCAGGTTATAGCTGTGGAATATCAATTTTCCTATATCATTCAACTTTCTTATCTTTCATTAATATATTTTAACTTTTGGTTTCATACATTAATAGCAATTTGATAAATTTTTAAAAAGCATTATATATCTGGTTGTTAAAATTGTAGACTGTTTCAGCTTTCCATTAATAATATCTTATATTTTCAACACTAGAAAATATAAGAATGCAAAGGAAGCTAGTATACTGGGATCTATACTGCTTTATTCTTTAAGTAGACAAGTTTAGACTAAATTTACATGTGTAAACATGTTTAAAACCTTCTGAATTCAAATTTACCTTTCCTCAATTTCATATATGAAAAAGCACTTCCTTCCAAAAAGAACATCTCTACTTTAAAAAATAGGTTTGGGGCCGGCCGAGTGGCGCAATGGTTAAGAACTGGCTTGGGACGCCAGAGGGCCCCGGTTCGGATCCCACATATGAGGGCCAGTGACACTGCCCTCTACAGCTAAGATGCTGAACAACAGCTCAACCTGGAACTGGGCTGCTGTGAGTCGCCAGCGACGGCATAGGCTGCAGCCCCTGCTGCAGTGGGTTGCCATGGGCTACCGTGTGTAGCCGGCAGCCAGCGTGAGCGGCCAGCAACCGCAGTGAGCGGCTGTCCAGAAGCCGGCGACTGATCTGCCTCGCCCGGGAAGCGCGCAATGATGGTGCCAGCCTGGGCCAGTGAAGCAACGTCCTCCACAACTAGACTGAAGAACAAAATGACAGCAACTTGTCTGTTCCCCTTCCCCTAGTTCCCCAGCGCTGTTCCCATCCCCCAATTCCCCAATTTAAAAATAAATAAATAAAAATAAATAAATAAATAAAAAATAGGTTTGCAGAATGGTTACGAGGAGAGTGGTTTGTTTGGATGGGCATTGCATACAAAATGGAAATAAGACCTCGGAGCCAGTTATAGAAACCTGATGACAGTAACCTGTGTATTTCCCTAATGCTGGTTTTGGATGACCCATAGCCTCATTCAATAACTGCATCACAAAATATAATACCCTAAAACATGTTAGTTTCTTTTAAACACTGTCAAAATTGGTTGTAGGTCATGAATCCTGAAATTTATAGAGGCTTAGTAAATAAATCAATACATTTTTTATAAGAACCCACTAAATTTAAAACGTTGACATAGTTTACCTTCTAGCCATGTGTAGAATGATTCTCCTTAAAAAAAGAACAACACACACAGAAACAACTGGGTTAAAATATTTCAAATAGTCACTTATATATTAGAATAAATTAAGTCTATACAATATTTTTATGACAGATTAAGAAATAGCTCTAGAAATGTCCACTGTTTCATGTGAAGTAGAAAAATAGACATGTGATTCTAGAAAATAAAGCCCCCAAATAATTTAAGTATTGGTAGAATGTTCTTATAAATGATATTTTGACTAGTAAAATTTTTTAGAAAACATTTCAGTTAAAATCTTATGTAAATCTTATTCACTAAAAGGCTTAAACATTTGTTAGTATGTGGCGACTTTAACAATCTTAAATTAGCTTTTGAAGATTACTATAGCACTTTAAAAATTCCAGAAAACACAGTGAACTATAATACAAGAATCAAATGATTAATTATTCCATTTTTCCTGATTCAGTAAAACAAGATTTCCTCAATTACCTAAGACTACTAAGTTTCAAGGGATAATTTAAAATTTTCAAGATAATTCTTCAGAAAAGTTAATAAGTAGGACACGGAGAGGCCCTACTAATGATAAAAGAACTTTCTAGACCAATACTGTTGTTCTGACTGAAAAAGAAAATGGTAGTCAATAAAGAGAAAATAGTTAACACACTTCCTAAATTACATATGTTTATTTTATTAAGAAAACTCAACACAGATGAGCTGAACAAGGAGTCTAGGGGATAAATTAGATGGTGGGGAATTACTTTGCCTCCTGAGAGTCTACACACTTTGCAAAACACAAACATCATCTTTCAGATTCATTCGTTCAACATCCTCTTACTAGGGATCATCCGTCATTATCTCACTTGTTTATTAAAAACCCCAACTGCTAACAGGGAGGTCTAGCTCCCAAGATCCTCGGTAACCTGGCTTCTACTCATCTTTCTATTGGGTCGTCGGTAAAGTCATGATGCATTTTTGCATTGAAAAACAGAAAAATATGTCATGACTTTCCTGACGACCCAATAATTTAAACTGCCCCTATAGAAAGTCTCTCCTACTAACAGGGTCTCCCCAAACTTGCTTGGTTTCTCCTTTCTCAGCAACTTGGTCCATAGTATTTTCTCCAAATGGCACATACTTTCCAATTTTACTGGTCGAAATCTGCCCCGATTCAAAATTCATCTTACATGCCACCTCCTCCAGTAAGGGATCCCAGATCACTTCAGTGAAATATGGTTTGTTCTGCCTTTAAAGAGCTATATCACCTACTGTTTGTACTATGTGCAGTGCTTCTTTACCACCATCTGTCTCTACTGCGTACCATTCCTGCTATATACTGTCAGCTCCTAGAGGGAAGGCCTCATGTTTATACATCTTTCTGTCATGTACATCACAGTGCCCTTGAACACAGATAAGTATACATGCATTTGAAATTATTATTTTGGCTGTTTTGGGGGCACCTTATGACAGATATTCATTCAGTAGCCTGGAGTAACCAACTGTTGATAAATTACTAGTATTCATCAGATTAAAAATTATAATAACTAAAGTTACAAGTTTTAAAGTCAGTAAGAAAATAAAGAAAAGTCACAAGACAAGTTTTCTGGTCAAACTATCTTAACTTCTTTTTGTTCAGAACATAGTCAAGTAGATTATAATAACCAGAAAATTGGGAAGGTGGAATGTGATCATGGTTCCTATACTAAACATTTAGGGAAAATGGTTTTTACACTTTTTTTTTAGCATAGGATAACTTTATATTATTAAAAATACTCATTTTTGTCATCATTCATTGGTAGCTATTTTCTGAAAAAATAAGATAAACTCTTTTGAATTAGAGGGAAAATCAAATTTTGATCATTAACACAAACACACACAAAGACAAGAGTTTTAACTCACCATCATCTTCTCCTGAAAAAGAAAATAATAGAGAAGATTTTAGAAAATGGCTCACAGTTCAGATTCTAATCCTGTTTATTTTAATATGGAATTAAAACTTCCTGTGTGTTAAACTATTAATTATATCATGAGCCTTGGTCAGTGTGTAGTCACCCAGCTAATGAGACTTCTTAAAAAGAATATCAGCCAAAAAGTACAAGATTTGCACATACGCTTTATACAATAAATAATATCAGAAGGTAACTAAAAATGACCATAAAGGCCATTAACTAACAAATATACACAGCCATCCCTTTAATCATCATGTACACAAGCCTCCCTGCACACTAGGGTTTCCATGCTGGAATAGCACACACACACCTTAACAAAAGTGCTTCCCAAACTGGAATCAGTGAAACCCTCACTGCATTTCATTTTTGGAAAAAAAGTTCTGTTGTTCAAAAACTGCTGGAACGCTAGCTGTGGAAGCCTGTGCTATGGCTCAGGAACAGTGTGGAAAACACAGAGGTCAGAGCATTAGAGCGGCTCCGCAACAGCTCTATGGAGAGAGCATACGAACGAACGGCAGCAGCACGAGCGATTTCGTTACTTCCTGTGGAGTCCCACCTCAGCCAGGGCTCAGCCTCTCCCCTACCTAGTCTTCTGTCTCCCTCTTTCACATCCAAAAAAAGAAAAGTCTTCTTTTCTCCTCTTTCCTCCCTCTATCTTTTTCTATATAGCACTCTCCTTTCTAGCAGTTTCATGTCTCTAATTTATCATAATGTGGAATGAAGTATTTCTTAGGACTTCATGGTTTTATTAAATGAATAATTATATTTTCTGCTTTATAAGTAAGTGATATTATTCAGTTATTAAAAAAAAGAATGAAATCTTGTTATTTGTGACAACATGGATGGACCTCGAGGGCATTATGCTAAGTGAAATAAGTCAGACAGAGAAAGATATATGCTATATGATCTCACTCATATGTGGAATCTAAAAACAAAACAAAAACAAACTCAGAGACGCTAAGAATATATGGGTGGTCATCAGAGGTGGGGAAGGAGAGGGGGTGTTGGTGAAATGGGTGAAGGTGGTCAAAGGTACAAACTTCCAGTTATAAAATAGGTCCTGGGTATGTGATGGACAGCATGGTTACTATAGCTAATAGTACTGTATTGTGTATTTGAAAGTTGCTCAGAGTAGATCTTAAAAAGTTCTCATCACAAGAAAAACAAATTTGTAACTATGTCTGGTGATGGATGTTAACTAGACTTACTGTGGTGATCATTTCATAATATATACAAGTATCAAATCATTATGTTGTACACCTGAAACCAATATAGTTATATGTCTATTATACCTCAATAACTTTTAAAAATTTCAATCCTTAAAAAAAAGTAACTGATCATAAGAAAGGTCTAGAAGAATACCTTCCACTGTCTGTCCTGTGGAACAGTGTGGAGGGAGGGTGGAAAAACTTTCCCTTTTTACTTTACATAATTGTAGCGTTTCAATTTTTATAAAATCTTATAATAAAAACATAAGTTGAAAATGAAAAGCTATGAAGTGAAGGGTAAGAAGCACACCTTTTCCATGTCCCAATTCCTTTCTCCAGGAAGTTTGGGATTGGATCTGGGGAAGAGTATTTGCCACATTGTGACAGAGTGAGCATCTAAGAGCAGTCGATTCATTCCACCTTTCTAAATCTCTTTGGTTCTCAGGAATGCATAAAGATACCAACCTAGGCCAGGAAATCCAAATGCTTAAATCAGTCCTGGCCTTAAGAAAACATTAGAATGGCCAGTCAATCACAGGGCTGCTCCCAGGGAGGGCTCCTCACTGACCTCCCGGACTGAGCTCGTGCCCGTAGTTTTACACTGAATAACCTCCCACTGTCTACAACAATGCTGTCCCCAGGCAGAGAATGCCAGCCACACACATATGTAGTTTACATTTTTTTCCACTAAAAATTTTTAGTAAAATAGTTCTAATGTCCACATTTTAAAAAGCAGAAGGTACAACAAGAGTTAAAGTAGTCCTACCAGAACAATAAATTTCTGCTTAATGGCAAAAATATTTTACACTCTTCTGTTTTTAAATGTAAATGGACTAAAATTAAATGTGCAATTTAGTTTCGCCCTCCCCACACGTGATGCGCTCGGAAGCCCGACGTGGCAAGAAGCCACCTTCTTGGACAGCGCAGCTCAGAGCAGCGCGGCAGGCAACTTCCCGTTGCTGCTCTGCTGCCTTATGACTCAAAGTGTGGGACATGGGGCGGCACCCTGGGCACCGCCTGGGAGGCAGAGAGAAACTTGGGCCTCACCTGCAGAATCAGAACTTGTATTTTAACAAGGCTCCTCGGTGATGTGTATGCACACCAAATTTAAGAAGCACGCCACAAGCCACTGGTTCTCAAACTTGGTGGCATGCTGGAATCTGGAGAGTTTAAAGAACACAAGGCCTGGGTGCATCCTGGAGATTCTGACTTATATGGGATAGGGCCTGGGAATCCAGGTTTAAGGGTTCCCCAGAAAACCTCTGATATACATGGATTACTCATGTATTATTAATTTTACATAAGGCTCCTAGTATAGGGCCTGGTATGTATGAGACACACAATAAAAACATATAGAAGTCTTGAGACCTAACTATCTTATACTTTTGATCATTCAAATAAAGCAAAATATAATTTCTCAAATTAAGTTTAATTACAAAGACATTTTGTAAGCAATTGCTAAAAGCACGAAAATGTATGAAAAACTCACCTCGGCTGGGTGCCAGAGGGTTTAAAGGACGATAAACAGATCGAGGCCTGAAAAAAGAAAAGCACAAAAACATTAAACGGTTTGAGTTTGTGATATAATTTTTTTCCAACAGCAACGCCCTCCCTCCCCCCTCCTCTCCCCTCCAGTTACTTGAAACAGTTTTCTTCGTAGATGCTGTTCCACACTCTCCACGCAGACGGACCCTTGTAGCCAGTGTAACGCTCTGGGTTCAGCAACAGGTCTACATATTGAGCAGCTGGAGACCTCTCATCTGAACAAGAAAATTCATAAAACCATCCCTGTGTCAGTCACCATTTATCTAAAGTTTAGCATTACAGAGCAAAACAGGGCTACCAAAAGGTTAGAAAAATGCTATACTTTTTTCAAGTCATCTCCAACTTAAACGGTAGACTGGTGAGCACACTTGTTACTGCACTTGACCCTGGATTTTATAGTAATTTGGACTTGAAAGAGGAAAAACAACTCCCTTTCCTCTGGACACTCACTCAGTGCTCTGAAGTCATGTCGTGGCCCTTATCTTATTAGAGGCATTCACTGTTTGTTTCAGTTTTTTCACCAGGATTGAAAAGGCCTAACAGAATCATCATCTGTTTTAATCTTTTATTTTTCTTCCTTACATATGTATTTACCTAAACATACTGTGTTTCCCTGAAAATAAGACCTAACTGAAAAATAAGCTCTAGCATGATTTTTCAGGATGCTCATAATATAAGCCCTACCCCAAACATAGGCCCCAGTTAAGATCGTCAGCCAGACATGACTGTTTGAATACATGTAGATTTTTGTACATGAATAAATGAATAAATGTAGACTGTTGGAGCAAAAGTTAATATAAGACCCGGTCTTATTTTCAGGGAAACATAATATGCTTGGAAACACTTATTTTGTTAGAGTATATTGTATTAAAAATAGAGATACTCTCTACTTTTGACTTATGAAGTAAATGGCTCAATAATTTTGTGATTCAAATTTGATTACACGTAGGGAAACAATGGTCTAGTTTTAAAAAATGTTAATTTATTTTTACCAATGTTAACATATTATAGTGCTTCCCCCCCAAAACCAATACAGTAGGCATAATTTCCAGAACTTAAGACATCTGAAATTAAATAACCATTTTCCATGTTGAAACCTAAGTGAGTATTTACTATGTCTTCAATATTTGGACAACATTTTCATAGAGATCTCTGCAGGATACAAAAGATAAAGAAATGTGGTCTGCATCAGAGGCTCACGCTGTAGACAGAAAGGAAACTCGGGCTTTCACACCATGACGATGCTCACAAATGCCTGAGCATAATACTCATAAGCTGAAGTGCTGTACATGTTGGCACAGATGCTTTCCTTTATTTACATGCTTCCTACCCTTTGGTGCCATGACTATACAGTCACCTGACTTAAATAGTGTGCAGGCACCTGACTTAAAATAGTGGCCAAATATGGTCATTAAAATATGGTTCCTCTTCATTACCTGATAGTCTATTTTCCTATCAGTCAACAATACTCACTGGCCATTCAATGACCACATATTGTGATTACCCACAATCATAAGGGGAAAATGGCGCCCTGATCCATGCCTTCCAAGAACTACTTGGTACTTTTGTGATTCAGGAAGAGTACAAAGATAATTAAAACTTCTCATTACTAAATGAGCTGTATCCAAATTATGCACAATGGAAACATGATTTTGGAGAATAAAGACTCTGTTCCTAGCCCTAACATTACACAGATATTCCACTCTACAAGGCACAGAAAACAGTTAATTTATAAATGGATAAATGAAAACTGTCCAGGATCATACTGATTCAAGACTTAAAAATACAATTTAATTTTTTAAATCTTAATTTAAAAATAAAGATTCAGATTATGAAATTAATAAAATTATGGCTTTTCCAACAAAAAATCCTACAATTCACTAGTTTCTGTTATATATTTTTAATTTCTTTGAACTGTTCTTGGTTAAATCCATTTGCAAAATTGATTCAATTATGTATACAAGCTTTACAGATATTAAACACACATAAATATATATGTACTGACATATATATGCATGTACACATATATAAGAATGTGTGTGCACGTGAGCCTACACATAGGTTGAGTCATCTATGAACGTGCAGATTTGACTAGTATCTCTTCACCCAACAAAAGCAATTAACCAATAAAGAAAAACAACTAGATTCAGATATTAAAGTATAATGATTTAAAATACATTTTAAGAGAATGAAAACTCTCAAGAGTAAAATCAATTACATCAATTTTTAATCACTTTCTTAAGTAAAACTTACATTCTCAACGTTCTCAATGTGTTATTTCTTTAATTCAATCAAGAGTAGTTTAATAACTTTTTAATACTTTTTCAAATCATGAAAAAGATGGGTTTTGTTAAGCTATAGGAAGTGTTAGTGAACTATGGCCCACGGACCAACTCTGGTCTGCTATGTATGAAGAAAGTTTTGTGGGAACATAAACCATGACATCTGGTTATGTGCTGCTCTCACACTATTATGCCAGAGTTGAGTAGCTGCAACAGAGACCATATGGTCCCCAAAGCCTAGAGTATTTACAATCTGTCCCTTTACAGAAGAGAAGTTTGTCAACCCCTGACCTATACTGACAAGACTTTCATCACATCCAGAGTGAGCAATGTGTGTGGGTGAAGGCCCCCTCTTAAGACACCAGTGCTGGTGCCCATCCTTACTCCTGTGGCTGCCTGTGAGAGGATTTCAACGAATTTGCTCCTAATCTGTAACTTACTCCCATCAGTACAGCTATAGCATTCATTCAGCTAATTCCCTCTGGGTCCCTACTATATCCTCCTCCCAGAGTTTTCTCTTCTTCCTCCCTCTACAAAGCTGCTGCAAAGCTGTTCTTTCTATATGACCATTAACTAAGGATTCAAGGAATTTCCACTGAATCAAAATCCCCAATTCTGGGATTCATCAACGTGAACGATGTTTTTGCCTCCTTCTCAAGTACACTCAACTGAATGTTCTTGTCACTGTCCTAATTCAATCTAAGTATCATGAGGCTACACTGCATTTTCCAGGATGCCAGACCCTCCTTCCTGCCTCCTAACCCAAAGACCTTTTACAACATAATGGTAGCACAGGCCAGCTTAGGGTGCAGGCTTTTTGCTTATGGACACAGATCAGAAATACTGAGATACAGGCTCAGGTCTGAGCCTACAACTCTCCATCACCAACTCTATCCCAAATTGTTACAACCCACTGTTAAAACATGATTTACCCAGTGGAGAAGAACCTATAGTTTATAATCCTGAGTAATTTTGATGCACAGCTAGATTTAGAAACTGCTGTTTTAAACAACATTTTTAATTTATTAATGAACATGTTTTAAGGGAAAATACAAGAGTAAAAATCGAGCACACTGTATAGGTTATTTATGAACCAACAACTTCATTCGACAGACAGCTATTGCACATGCACCATTTCTATACCAGGCACTGTGCCAGGCACTGGGGGTACAGCAGTGAACCAAAGAGACAAGGCACTTGCCCTCAAGTGGCTCATGATCTAGTTGGGGAAGACAGACAACAAACCTGAACTAAGTAACATGCCTGGTACTCTCTAGGAGAGACAGAGAGTGACAGTGGTACTATTTTTTCTAGGGAGTGACAGCAGCCTTTGATGAGGTGACATTTGAGCAGAAACCTGAAGCAAAGGGAGCCATGCATGAAGACAATAACAACAACAAAAAATGGAGAGGGGTAGGGAGAGCAGCTTACCTTAAACTGCTAAATTATTTAAAAACCTACTATTTGATCTATAGGGATCATCTTCCTTTCAAATAACAACAGAACCAAACAACAGAACAGCAGAGAGCAGGGGTCATGGGTATATTCCAATCAACTGGGGTGAAGCCTTTAGATTTTTTTTGTTTTAATCCAATGACTTTAGATAACTGAAGTAACTAAACAGTGACTCTTGGTGACTGACAGTCTTTCTTTAATTGTAGGTCTAAGTAATTGGGACACACATGAACATTACCACCCAGAAGTATAGTGGAAATCCAACTAGAAGCATTGTTTTATGTATAAGAACTACATAAAATATACAAATTACTAATTATTTTAATTAGGTCACCCTAAAAATCCTAAATGATTTTATTTAAATTCTTATAGGACATCTTTTCCACTTTTAAAGTTTAAGAAGCTAATGTTAAAAAATTAGCTAACACTATTGATGACAAGTAATGGAGCACATCAACTTAATCAGAGCAAGCGATACCTGAGTAGTATTTTTTACTCAATACCTATAGAGAAATATATATATATATTACATTATGTACTATAAGAGAAATACATACATTCACAGAAATGATTTTTTAATCTGAAAGTTAAGCACTACTGAACATTTTTTATTTTAATCAAGGAATAGGTAAAATGAGAAACTGGAAAGAAATGAAGTGACTATGAGTATTAAACACTCAAATATAATCAGAATGACAGCCAAAAGGCAAATGAAAGAGTAAGCAGTGATGTGTGTACTTAACCTGGGTACAATGGCTTGCTTTGATAAAACCTGCCAATTCTAAATATCACAATGGGGTATTTTATTAATTGCCCATTTATTATATCCAGAGACTCAGATTTCTTAAAACATTCCCTGCTGAAACCATATAGACCATGGCAATAACATTTCATCTCCCAGCATCTTCTCAAATTACTAGGCTATTGTAGAAGCTCATTGTAAATGATTAATAGCACAATTCTACATGAGTCTTTTAAAAACCTTTGAAAGCAGTATGACCACTCTGCAGTCTGATTCCAACTATGCATGCCTGAACCCCAAGTTCTTTTCCACCACCAAAAATATAACAATACCAAGGTAAAAGGTAAAAATAAGAGGCCAAACGAGTAATTTAGGCCTGCTCACACAATGCTTGGGAATATTCTCCTATAGATAAAACATTTTGAGTCACTTCAATTACCTTCTGTTAAGAGAAATGGTAGTTATCATTGAACAGTGCCCTGTCTTTGTACCATTCCAGGGACTTCTTGGAAAGAGGGCTGTGAGGAAGTCGAATTACTCTTCCACTGTACTGGAAGGTGTCTTTATGGTAGTTTGCTGAGACCGTCTAACAAATTCCAGTGTGAACATTTTTATAGTATGTTTACAGACCTGTAAATGAGTGACTTGAATTAGAGGCCCATGGGAGATGGTGTGTCATAACGGAAAGAACACAGGTTTTAGATTCAGCCAGGTCTAGCACTGAATCCTGTCTCAGCCTCCTGCCTTTGTATGATCTTGGGCAAGTTATTTAGTCTTCCTGAGACTCAGTTTCTTCATATATGAAATACTTCACACTTAACAAGGTAGCTGTAAAGGTCAGAAGTAATGTACTTAACACAAGGCTTGGAACGCAGCCTCTCAATAAATGCCATTCTTAATAATAAGATCCACATAGAGACATCCAGGGCATTAAAGCTATAACTCTGTTGATATTTTAATTGATTTCAATGTCTTATAAAAGGATTAAAGTAATTTAGAAAAAATAGTTTATTACCATCAAGTTCACAAAAGTGATCCTGTGAATCATCGTATCTTGCCCAGTCAATGAAAGCTTCTTTGCTTTGACTACTATGGGAAGGAGGAATAAAAAAGAAAATGATTAAATTTGGAGTTGAAAATTTTAACACTGTATTCTACTGTAATTAAAACTAGATAATATGATGTCACTTTTTTTTTTTAAAGATTTTTATTGGGGAATTGGGGGGATAGGAACAGTGCTGGGGAACCGGGGGAAGGGGAACAGACAAGTTGCTGTCCTTTTGTTCTTCAGTCTAGTTGTGGAGGACGTCGCTTCACTGGCCCAAGTTGGCACCATCATTGCGCTCTTCCCGGGCAAGGCAGATCAGTTGCCGGCTTCTGGACGGTCACTCACGGCGGCTGCTGGCCGCTCACGCTGGCTGCTGGCTACACATGGTAGCCCATGGCAACCCACTGTCACAGGGGCTGCAGCCTACGCCGTCGCCGGCGACTCATGGCAGCCCAGCTCCAGGTTGAGCTGTTGTTCAGCATCTTAGCTGTGGAGAGCAGTGTCACTGGCCCTAATATGTGGGATCCAAACCGGGGCCCCCTGGCGTCCCAAGCCAGTTCTTAACCATCACGCCACTTGGCTGGCCCATGTCACTTCTTTTTTAATTAGATGGTGTCAGAAATTCAGTTAGAGGTTACAAGAAGAAATGATGAGGGCCGGCCGAGTGGTGCATTGGTTAATATTGGTCTGAGTAGCAGGGTCTCAGTTCGGATCCCACATGGGGGCCAGTGACACTGCCCTCTACAGCTAAGATGGTGAACAACAGCTCGACCTGGAGCTGGGCTGCTGTTGAGGCGACGGCATAGGCTGCAGCTCCTGCTGCAGTGGGCTGCCATAAGCTACCGTGTGTGGCTGGCAGCCAGTGTGAGCGGCCGGCAGCTGGTGTGAGCTGCCAAGAGCCACCGTGAGCGGCCGTCCAGAGGCTGGCGACTGATCTGCCTCGCCTGGGAAGAGCGCAATGATGGTGCCAACTTGGGTCAGTGAAGCAATGTCCTCCACAACTAGACTGAAGAACAAAAGGACAGCAACTTGTCTGTTCCCCTTCCCCTGATTCCCCAGCGCTGTTCCCCTTCACCAATTCCCTAATAAAATCTTAAAAAAAAAAAAAAAATGATGAAAACAAAGTATATGAAAAACATAGATATTAACTTCCATGAGTGATTTATATTTCTTAATTATATTAAAGCTATTATTAGCCCCCATCAATATTAATTACTTGAACTAGAAAATTAATTTACAAATATATATATAAGATGTAGTTAAACACAAAATTCAAGCTGGCCTTCTCAAATGACTGATAAATTATAGGAAATATTTATTATTTTTTCCTAAAGTAGGAATTAAATTTACTTTCATAATTATTTTAACTTAAATTGCTTCTGTACGTATAGGACCCAAAATACCAAGAATTGCATTTCTAGGCTCTCCCATCCAACATGGTATTCAGCCATACCACTGTCACTTTTATCATGGTACATCATTCATTTTACATACTACCTCGCATTTTAATAAATCTACGAATGAGAAACCTCATTCGGAAAACTGATAAAGTAGCTACATTCATTCAAACAAACTTTGACCTACATTCACTTTAACCTGTATTCTCTGTCTAGAATACGAGATGGCAGCATCTCTAAGAGAAGTATTATTACCCTTCTTTATTCACTACACAAATAGGAAAAAAAAACCAAAGTAAAATAGTTGTGCACCAACTGTAAACCAGGTGATTCCTAAACACAGTGCTGGCACAGCCAAGTATTTATTTTGCATTTGAGAAACTGCTGAATGACACAAGGCGGGGCCGTATCACATCCACTTTATCAATAAATTTTTCTAATTTACTTTGAGATTTTTTTCTCCTTTGGGAGTATATAATTAAATAATAAACATTAATGGAAAATTTTGTGTCATATTTGACTCAGTTGAAATATATGATGCCAGAAAACAAGAGTGCCTAACGTCTAACTACAGCTAAAATGATAACTATAGTTATGTTTAATCACATAAATCTTCTGATGAAAATAGTAAAGAACAAAGCAATTCTAAAAAAAAAAGAACAAAGCAATTCTGATACAAATTCCTATTTTCTTGTCAGCAACATGACTAATTTAGAGGAACCTTTTTCTTTGAGCAGCCTTATTTGGTGAGATTTTGCTGACTGTTCCATCTAACTCCTGCCTAAAGCCATAGTGTAGAAAAGATATGGAATGCTTATCTAATGCTAACAGAGCTGGCCCAGTTTGGCTTATAAATGAGTCAGAAAGAGCCTTAGAGATCATCTAGTCCAGCTTTTCCAGAAGCCAATTTGAAGATGGATGTTAAGCTACTTACATAATGTCTTGGGTTTAACCCTAGGCTTCCTGTCGAGATGGCACGGTGAGTTAAGGTCTTCCAAGTGGGAAATACAGGGGCAGGAAGGGATGGGACAGAGGGATTACAAGGGGCATGAGAAAACTTTTGGGGGTGATATATGAGAACCATTTTGACTCTACTGATTTTTGTGACTGAACACATGTCAAAACATCAAATGATATATTTTGAATAGGTGCTATATATTATTGCATGTCAATTGTACTTCAATAAAGCTGTTTAAATATTACAGTGCCCACTGTAATGGGGGGTTATCACTTTGTGAGGGGTGTAAATGTCTAACTATTACATTGAAACTAAAAAAAAATCAAAAAACAAAACAAAACTGTAAAAAGACTTAGGTTCAAGTTCCATTTCCCATAATAATCAGGAAGAATAGACCCATAAGCCCTGCTAGCTAAGCAATCTTCTAAATTTTTACTTTTTAATACAATCAGTATTGATGATTTAGAAATTTAAGAACAAATCAGCCAAGAGGAGGAAGCAAAAGTGTCATAAAATGTAGGATGAAGAATAACTTGTTTCTCTTAAAAACTAGTTGACACTTTAATGTTTTAAACTCACAAGAAAAATGGGAGATTTCTGATATAAACAAGAGAATTTTTTTTACTACTACTAAAACAAAACTTACCTTAATGTGCTGTTAATTGCTCCCAGCTTATTAGCTTGCTCACAGTCTTCTAATTCTTTGGTATTGTTTGCCACTTTTGAGTACTGAAAGGAAGTTCATAATAAACAAGTTCAGTAAATTAATTCCTTCCTCTTTATTTCAGGCTCACCTAGCAGAATAGTAAATCTGTCAATGCGGATATACACTAAACACCGATAATCCTATTACTGAAATCCCTAACTATGTAGAAATACAAATGAAAATGAGTCATAAATTTCTACCTAATCAATAAGCAAGGACATTAAAAACATAACAATCATCATGTTGGTGATGATGTAAACTGAGAAAAGTCTCTTGGGAACGTAATTTGACATTTATCTGGAGCTGGAAAAACGTAGAAGGCCATGAGCCAGCAGTCCCATTCTGAAACCATATCCAGAACAATATTTAAAAAACAAAATCGAGGTACAACCACTTGAGAAAGTTATCTGATACTATCTTGTGATGCTGAGATAGGCATACCCTATGGCCCAGCAATCTTATTTCTAATTATAGACCCAGACAACTCTTACGTGTGTGTGATGAGACAAAAGACAAGACGCTAGTGCATCACTGTTTGTAACAGCAAAAGGCTGAAAATAATTGAAATGTCATCAACAGGGAAACAACTAGTCCATGATACAGTCATACAACTGAATATTATGCAGGTGTTTAAATTTTTTAAATCTACATATATCAACAGAGACAAAATTTCAAAAGCATAATACTCAATAAAAATACAAACTGAAAAAAATGTTTTTAACCTAAAGAAATACAAAAATATACTATTATTTTAAAATGTTTTAAGTTTCACGTAAAAGATCTATATATACTTGTGGATATAGCACAATAAAGTATAAACATAAGGATCCCAGAAGGCTATACATCGACTTCAGAAACCTGTCTAGCATTGGGGAGGGAGGAAACAGAAGGGGATTGGGAAGGAGTCCAGAAAGGATTCTGTCTTCATACCATTTATTTATTTGCTTTAGATCTGAAACAAAAATAAATAAATGAGAGTGAACACAAACAAAAGGCCACATGGGGGAGAGCGTGCCAGAAGAAAATGCAGTGAGGATGCATAAGGAAGCAGAGAGAGGGTACCAGGATCTCCATGACGTATGTACAATAGTGAAAAACTACAAGTGTACTGTTTCCTTTAAAAGCGTATGAATGACAAACTAAATTATGGCATGCGCAGAAGAAGGAAAGGACAATTTTTAATAAGGGAATATTTTAATTCCATTTACAACTACTATGCTCAAAATAACTAGACAACTGTTTACACAATGTAATACTGAATATGACAGGTTGACTAGTTGAAACAGAAGACAAAAAATAGGTGTATGATTAAACACCTATTGAGGAGGCCATTGGACATTGTGGTTATATTTCATAGTTCTTCTAGAGGTTCAAAAAAAAACCTGAAATATTCCAAAAGAAGCTATATAATTTTAATTGTAAGGATATACAACCTCTCTGCTTGCTACAAGAATTAGGAATTTGGGATTTTAAGGCAAAATGTATCCATTCCCAGCTAACCATGTTATGGTTTTCTTCTGCAATTACGTCAGACAGTAAATGGTAAGTTTCACCGTGTAAAGCAAAAATATTCAAGGAAGAAGAGTGACTCACCTTATTAGAACTCCCAGCTTTAATTCCAACTGGAATTTTACTCTTAAAAGAAGAACAACAACAATTTTAAAAGCAATCTTCATTTTTTTTTTTTTAGATTTCTTCACAAATTAGTAACGCTATTGCTTTAATACAAAGGCTATTTTATTCTATGAGGAAAAAATATACATTCAAATTCTGTTTTCATACTGCCTCTTTGAAGTAAAAGGAAGAGTTATACCAATGTACAGACTTCAAAATCCTAGGATAAAAAATTGAATGAGAAACACAAAATTAGAGCATCAATATGAGCTCTAAGTTAAACTCTGAATGCAGTATTTAATAGTTTATATAATTTTTAGGTTTAAAAAAATGGCACTCACTTTTTCCATAAACTTTTTATCACAGAAAAAGAAGTTTTTAAAAATTTCAAAATTATTTGAAATATGTTATGCTCAACTTTAATTTCTGCTCTAAATTGATGTTTAAAGTTTAGGCAATTTTGGATTCATAGAAGGCAAGAGTACAATTAACCTGGGGTTTACCACTAGAAGAACTGCATGTAGGTCTGATTTTCTTGTCTACAAAGCTAATAATTGCTTTTAGGCTTTAATAAAAAAACCTATGAATTATCACACCTGGTTTATCAAACACAATCAATAAAATCATATCTGAAATCAGACAATCACAGGTTGATGCTCTGATCAACCCAGGGGACTGATTTCCAATGCATATATCAATGAGTTATCAAATTAATAGCAAATTAGCTACTAAAAAATTTTCATGTTTCATAGATACATTTTAACCAAATATTCAGAATAAATATTTTCCTGTCAGGCTGAAGAATGTCAATAATAGTAAATTTTTCCAAATCAATAAAAAGACCATATAGATAAAAATGTTACTTGCTGCCAGTATTTTATCATTACCAGGTTTCCTAGTACCCCTAACAGAGAGCAGGAGAGAGAAAACTATAAAACTCAAGTCAAATCTAGCAGTCACAATGATATGACTCTGAATTTAAGATATGGAAAAATAATAACCAAAAGCACCCTCTGAGTCCTGTATGTCCTCTAACTACAATAGTATAGTAACAATCTTTAGCAGCTTTTTAAAAGGTTTGATTCTAAATGAAATAACTTGACAAGCAAATCTTAACATAGACCATTTAAAAATATGGGGGCAGGCACCACAGAAGGTCATGAATAACATAAAAATCACAAAAAAAGAATTATTCAAAATAACTATAAAATTAATAATTAAAATCAAGCGTGAAACAAACCTGATTGTTGCCACTAACACGAGCAATATGAAGCTGTCTGACAATTATAACATTAAGTGACCCCTCACAATTAAATTAGACTTTAAATTATAGAATGCAAACTTTAACTCTGTATCATGACAAGTTTGAGTTCAACAGGAAATGCCTACTGAATTTTCCCCCAAGAAAGAAAAATACAAATAGCCTCACATCACTTAAAAGGACCAACATGAAGGGCTCGTTTCTGTCTCTGGGGAGACAGGGAAGGGAACAGACAGGAATTTTTAAATGCTTATACAAATAAACACCTTCATTTATTCTTATTAGAAACTTAAGACTAAAGAAGGTAATCTACTGTCAACAATAAATGATTATTTTAATGTAAAAACAATTTAAAAATACATACTGTGCAGAGCCAAATAACTCTTACAACTCAGCAATAAAAAGGCAACTCAATTTAAAAATGGGCAAAGCAGGCTGGCCAAGGGGCGCGTTGGTTAAGAGCTGGCTTGGGATGCCAGAGGACCCCGGTTCGGATCCCACATATAAGGGCCAGTGACACTGTCCTCTACAGCTAAGATGCTGAACAACAGCTCAACCTGGAGCAGGGTTGCTGTAGGCATAGGCTGCAGCCCCTGCTGCAGTGGGTTGCCATGGGCTACCGTGTGTAGCCAGCAGCCAGCGTGAGGGGCCAGCAGCCACCATGAGCGGCCGTCCAGAAGCCAGCGACTGATCTGCCTCGCCAGGGAAGAGCGCAATGATGGTGCCAACTTGGGCCAGTGAAGCAACATCCTCCACAACTAGACTGAAGAACAAAAGGACAGCAACTTGTCTGTTCCCCTCTCCCAATTCCCCAATAAAAATCTTTAAAAAAAAAAAATGGGCAAAGGATTTGAATAGACATTTCTCCAAAGATGTACAAATGGTCAATAAGCACCCAAAAAGATGCTTGATATTACTGGACATCCGGGAAATGCAAATCAAAACCCAAATGAGATAGCATTCACAAGGATGGCTAAAATAAAAAAAGTCAAGTGTTGACGAGTATGTACAGAAATTGGAAGCCTTGTACATGCTGGTGGGAATGTAAAATGTGCAGCCACACTGGAAAGAGTTTGGCGGTTCCTCAAACAGTTAAAATTACTATATGACCCAGCAATTCCACTGCAAGATATACACTCGAGAGAACTAAAAACGTATGTCCACACAAAAACTTGTACCTGAGTGTCCATAGCAGCATCGTTCATAGCAGCCCAAAAGTGGAAACCAAACGTCCATCAATTGATGAATAACAAGATGAGGTGTAACCATACAATGGTATATTATTTGGCAACAGGAATGAAGCCAGTAACAAAAGACCATATAATATATGATTTTATTTACATGAAACGTCCATAAGTGGCAAAGCCATGGAGACACAAAGCAGATTAGTGTTTCCAGAGGGAGGGGGGCAATGGGGATGACTGCTAATGGGCAGGGGTTTCTTTTTGGGGTGGTGAAATTGTTTTAAAATTAGACAGTGGTGATGGCTGCACAATTCTGTGAATATACTAAAAACCACTGAATTGTACACTTTAGAAAGAGTAAATTTTAGGGTATGTGAATTAGGTCTCAATAAAGCTGTTATAAAAAAAACAAATAAAAATATTAAAAATAATAACTCAAGTTCATACTGGCATAAACATATAATTAAATAAATAAAGGGAAGACAAGAAAAATCTCTTGCTTACAGGAGAATGCTAACTAATAAATGTAGAGGAAATACAATCAGAAAATCACTATATGGCAAATATCATATAAATAATTCAGGCAAGAATCATCAAAGGATACTAAAATTATCATGGTAAAAGTATGATGAAAAATGGGATATTTTCATAGTCTCAAAGATTTTTCCCACTTTACAGTGAAGAAATCTGAAGCACCACCTTAACCAAGTGATAAAGATGACAGCATGTGCCAGGCTAAGAAGGACAAAAGGACACAACATCGCTTCTATGGTGTACCTGCCAAGAGTGCGTGGCCTGAATCTAATAGTTAGAAAACATCTGAAAAACCCCAAATTAGGGGTATTCTACAAAATAACTGGTGTAGTGGAAGGGAAGGAGAGAAGAAGAGAGGGAAAGAAGTCAAGACATTGAAAGACGAACTACCGAGAGACTATTCCAGATTAAAAAGATTAAAGCGACATGGCATCCTAATGCTACATATAATTCAGGATCAGAAACTTTTTTTGGGGGGGCTATAAAGCACAATAAGTCAGTTGGCAATAGATAATTAAGTTCTACAAACTATATTAATTTCCTGTTTTGTTAATTATGCTGTGGTTAGTTAAGTAAATACTCGTTTTTAAGGAAATACACATTGAAGTATTTAGGGGTAATGAATCATGTTGGTAACTTATTTCTAAATGGTTCAGAATATAATAATATTAATATATACATATAGAGAATAATAAAGCAAATGTGATAAACATTAACATTTAGGGAATCTGGATAAAAAGTATATGGGAATTGTTTGTACTATTCTTCCAACTTTTCTCTAGGTCTGACATTATTTCAGACTAAAAAGTTAAAAAACATTATATTCTTAAAGGAAAATGAAGATCATTTTTTCCCCATTAGGAAGGACATTTATTCAGATGGTTTTTTTCATATTTTTAAGGACAACAAACTAGACTAACTGGTTAGGTAAGAAAAGCCAAAAATAAAACGAAAACATAGCTTATAACTAATTGCTGTTGAAGAAGAATAAAATCAATTATGCTAGACGTCAAAAAACAAAGTCTAAAATGTAGTATTCCCTTACTAACAAGACCAAGTAAAAACCTAATTCGAAGCTTGAAATCTCCCCTTTATGCACTTTAATTCCCACTCTAAATTTGAAATATAAAGCGTGAAATAAGTCAGTCAGTTGTAGATCCTGGAACGGCTTCTGGTTTGAGATGTGTTACCTCTGGACAGGGCTCCACGTGACAGTCTTTTATTGAACAATGGCCATCTTCTGCCCAGAAAGGACACGGTCGCTTCAGGTTGACCTTGAAAGAAAGAATGAATTAACATGAGCCAACGTGTGTCACAGTTGTGCAGTGCTCTTTTCAATGTCACCACACTGGGCACAGGGGCGTGGCACTGAATCAGAAGAAGTGCCTATTGGATAGATCGTAATTTTAAATGACTGCATGTTTTCAGACACCCAGATAGGAAATTAATTTTTTAAAATAAATGATGCTATTAGTCCTCTGACACTTCAAAAAAGGAATAAGGTACACGGCTCATCCGAAGAAGGTAGAAAGTGTTTCCTAACTATGCGCTCACTTCACTGTCAGAGCCTTCCGATGGCTTCCATCACCTTTGGAGTAAATGGAACCCTGAAGCCGGCTCCACTGGCCCCTCCGTCACCTGGCCTCCTGCCCGGCCCTCTGAGCCCGTGCCCTGCCATGCGCCCCAGCCACACCGGCCTTCCTGCTGGGCACACACCATGCTTGTTTCTGTCCCAGGGCCTTCACAGAGGCTGTTCCTCTGCCCACACTGGTGCCCCTCCAGACCTTTCTAGGGCTCACTCCCTCTGCCTCCTTCAGCTCTCCCATGGGACATCCATAGGCACCCCAGACTTACTAACGTACCCAAAATGGTGCTCTTCTCTCTAGTAATTCTTGACATCTCAGCAAATAGCAGCTCCATTAATCCAGTTCCTCAGGCCAAAATCTTGGCATCATCCTCGACTCTTTTCTTTCTCACCCTACATACAGCACCTCTGAAAATCAGGTCAGTTCAAAACCCAGGTTCCTGTAACAGCCGAGAGTGCCTTGCATGGTCTGCTTGCCCGCTCTCTGCCCTGTTCACTGTCCTCCTCGTGGTTCCTCAGGTACATGAGGCAGCCTGTGGCCTCCAGGCCTTTGCTCCAGCTGTCCCCTCTGCCTGAATGCCCTCTCCAACAGCCACATGGCTTGCCTTCTCACTCCCCTTAGGTCTTCCTCAAATGCCACCTTCTCAGCTTGCTGTTTTAGTTGCTAACTTTCAGGCTAATTTGTTATGCAGCAATAGACAACTGTGGAAGTCACAGTAACACGCTGCTCAGATCACCCTCGGGAATGGAGGACTTCTGGAAGCGCTGCAGGCAGCCAGCCGCAGTTGGAGTGGGACAGACACTTTGCCCCGGGTCACCTCACCCCTTCCTGCAGGGTCCTCATCCAATGACTGGTAGAAGGATACAGCAGCCCAGACCTGTACCTCAAGTAAGGACAGCTCTAAGGATCATCCCATCTTAAGAGCGCCCCAAGGGTCCCCCAGGTCTGCACTGAAGCTGCATCACAGCTTTACTTCTCCTCTCCCCACCCTTCCTTTCCCTCCCCTAACTTGTTGGTTCCAGAGCAGTCCCTAATTAAGCTCTCACACACTAATCACTGTCTCCGGTCGGCTTCCCAGGGGACTTAAGCTGTGACAGCTTGTCCAGCTCCAAATCCCTCCGACAGCTCCTTACCACACATAATAAAATCCAACATCCTCGGGTATTTAATAAGACCTGCTTCCTCCAATTTGTTTCCTCTGGCCCCTACCTACCTCTCCAACTCTCCCTCTCATCCACTTTCCTCCAGTTCTGCCAGTCCCTTCTTATTCCTCAAACAGTCTCTTCTTATTCCTCAAACATTCTAAACCTTTCTGCCTGCAGCCAAAGCCTTCATACGTGCAGTTCTACTCCCCTTTCCCGGAGTGTTCTTGCCCCAGGTATTGTCATGGCTTACTCTTTCGCTTTAGGTACATCTGCTCAAACAACACAGCATGATGTCTTCCTTCCCTGACCAATTACTTTAAAATAGGGCTACCTGCCTTCCCCACCCCCTTTCCTCTCTATCTCCTACTTTGCTTTATTTTTCTCCAAAGCACTTCCAGCCATGTGAAATTATACTGTATTGTTTAACCTGTTGATTGTTTGTCTCCCTAATCAGAATAAAAGCTTCTTGAAGTGAGTGTTTGTCTTATTCAGCACTGGATCCAGCACCCACAACATGGTCCGCTACATTCAGTAAATATTTGGTGACTAAAAGAATGGAATGGATAGTACAAGAGAGAAATTATGAAGACCAACTACAGCAGCCAACTGGCCAGTTGACAGAGGTATACTGCGGCTTCTACCTATATTTCCTTGCTTCCTGAATCTAAGTATGTAAGTGAGCTTAAAATTAGCCTCTTCTCTTAGCTTTCCTTTTCTGCCACTGTTATATGTAGAGTATACTGGTTACATTTCCTTGTTGCTTGATTCATAGATTGACAGAACTAGAAGAACATATCATCCAAATATCCTCTACTTGGGTGATATCTAAAGCTAAATGCATTAACTAGATCATTGTATTACTCTCCTTGTGGAGAGGGTATGAGTATATGTTGGTTCCATAGGGAATAATTTCATTACATTGGTTAGAACATTCTTTAATTACATGTACGTGGATAAATTGTATGTTGGCTAGCCAGGGACCACATTGTAATGTTTGCCTATCCAACTTTCATTTTTCCTTCTTCTGTCACACTCCCTCTAACTTCCCTTCAAGAAACAATGACTCCCCTTATATTTATGCAAATTGGAGTGTTAACCAAAGTGTCTTCCCTCTTTCAGTCATGAGACCAATGAGATCCTTCCTCCCAGGAATCTGACTCTTGCATAAAGTGTTGCAAAAATTGGGTGAATGGTGAATTTGACCCAATATTTTGGTGGCACCACAGAGAATAATCATTGGTGCCTGCTCTAATTTCTACCTTTTCTGAAGTATGCTACTTCAGCTTATCTTTCCATTTTGCGAGCTGCTCCCACACTTTTTTTTCATCAAATGTCTACCTGGGGGCCTAAACCATTCTTTCTTCATTTAGAAAATGTGGCCAATACTGACCTGACAGTGCTCAGTGCAAAGATTAAATGAGATATTCATTCATTTATTCAAATATTTGAGTGCCTAGTATTGACCAGGCCTGTGGGGATACAGAAATAGGAGATATAATCTCAAAAGGAGGAGTGGAAGAGTGAGTGAGGGCCGTAACATGCTGAGTGGAGATGTGAGCTGGGCGTTCTGTGAAGGGATGACCTTTGATAACAGAAACACTTCTTCCATTGTACTAGACTGAACCATATGAAATTGGTAACACTCAACCACTCTGACCTATAATAGCAACAATTTCATATGGTTAAACCTCATAGTAGAAAGGGGGCAGGAGAAAGCAGCTAGAAACACAGAAGGACTTGTAGATTTAGAGGCGGGAATGAGAAGAAGCTATTCCTACCTGTCTCTTTGCACATAAAATGCCCAGAACACTAGATCTTCAGCAGTTTAAGCATCGATTATTCTGAAATAGTCTGTGGGATCTGCATTATTTTGTATAGAGGGGAAACATTCACCTTTTTAGGTATTCTTGGTGCTGATCTGGAGGGGGTGGGGATTGGTTCCCAAATCTTTAATTCCCTAAGTTGTTACCTTTTGCACTACATACTTAAAACTACCAAAATATTAGATTTTTTTTTATCCTCCAAAATATTTAAAGGACTAAGATAGCCTACACAGAATCAGGATAAAAGCGAAAATCCACTCAATTCTTAAAATAGACTAAAAAAATAAATCAAAGAAGTTATAAACCCAACTGAATACTGAGAGCAAGGGCACAGGCAAACCATAACAGCAGCTCTAAAAACACTGTTCTTAAATTTTAGATAGTGTTCTTTAAAATATTCCTCATTGCTGCTGCCTTTAAACCATCACTGCTCATTTGTGAAGGTCTAGGGTAGATTCCTATTAGATGTAAGAGCCAATTCTGCAGTATTACTATGGCTGGTGTTCTGCATATATCTGCAGCTCCCGTGAGCTGCCCCGTGACCGTCTGCTGCCCTGGAACTTTATGCTGCAAACAATGCTGAGCCCTCAGCTCAGCCCAAAACCTGGGCAGGTGTGTCTAGACGGCAGAACCTAAGTTACAAGGGAGGCTGACAAAATAAGTCCCTTGCATTTTCAACTTTTTTGTTGAAACCAAAATTGAAACCTAAAGAATTCTCCAAACAGAGAAAGAGGGCTCAGATTCTTAGTGTTCAAAAAGACTAACAGGTTTTCAGTACAATACTCAACGCATTTCAGTGACAGAATATGTCACTGAAATCTTTACTTGCGTGAAAATTTACTTGCGTGACAGTAGGGTGCTGAGAAGAGTCAAATGGGCTTTCAATGTGCTAAAAGTCACATCTGTAGACAGCTTTTTATAAAAATTCTTTGGTGCCAACAGAATAAGAAATTATAACCATACCTTGTAATAACGGAAGTAGTCTCGCTCTTGCAGTTTTTTTATTTTGGGGAAGATTTTGAAGGTGTTGAATTTATCGATGCTATCAACATCACACAAGCAATCATCTAGGACTCCAGTGACCTAGAAAAAAATATACATGTAAAATTTAAAACATGTTTCAACCTTAACAAATCTGTATTGTTATATAAAAAGATAACTTATACATTCAAATTAGCTAGTCTTTGCTCATTAAGATACAAAACATTAAAGCAGTCACTTACTTTTTACTTGCGTCAATTCAATAAGAAACAACAGAAGGATTAGATGTACCCATTTTGAAGAACGAAAAGGTCTTGTTTAGTAATCAAAAGGATACTGATGTTCCTTCCCTTGACTAAACACATATAAAATCCAAGTAACTGTTGGAATGCTGAAGCAGTTCCTTCCAAGGCTACCCAACAAGGCAGGCTGACATCACACTGCTGTAGTAACCTTATCTTTCTTTTAGACTGACACGCATGGAACACTTCCGTGAGCGCCATGGTGCTAAGAGCATTACACATCTCATTTATTCTCTAAATACCCAGTGAAATGGATATTATCATCCTCATTTTACATGAAATTAAGGCTTAGCAAGGTTAAAATAATTTTTCCAAAGTAGAAATGAGACTTAGTCCGAAGTCTGTCTCACTAAAACACATGCTTTTATCCACTACTCAAAGTATACATTAATCGAAGAAATACTGATATTTACAAAGTGAGTTCAGAGTCCAAAAATTCCATAAAACATTCTTCAACTAAATTTTAAAATAGGACTCACTGACACGTTCGGCTTGGTTGAATCTTCAGGGAATAATGCTGAGTGAAAAACACCAATCCCAAAGGTTACATACTGTATGGTTTCGTTTATATAACATTTTTGAAATGACAAAATTTTTAGAAAGGGGGCACAAACAGGTTATTGATTGCCAGGGTTTAGGGGCTGGACTAGGGTTTGAAGCTGGAGTGGGGCAGGGAAAGGAGGGAGGTGTGGTTATAAAAGGGTAACAGGAAGCATCCTTGTGTGATGAAATTGTTCAGTATCATGACTGTGGTGGTACGTACACTAACCCACACACGTGATAAAGAGTACGGACTCATACCCACACACACAAATGAGACAAGTCACCAGCTATCTGAATAAGATCAGTAGATTGTGTCAATGCCCTAGTTATAATATTATATGTTTATAAAATGTTGCCATTGGAGAAAACTGGATAAAGGGTACATGGCATTTCTCTATATTATTTCTTACAACTGCATAAAATCTACAATTACCTCAATTAAAATTAAAATTTAAAAACAAAATGGGACTCAGCCTATTACAGGTTACTCATGGGACCAGTAGGAGGAATAGCTGCAAAGAATGGCCAGAGAATGGAAGCCAGTCCTTGCCAGTGGCTTGTTTCTGTCCAGTGCTTTCGCCCCAGGAGTGTAAATGTGTCCCCAAACTCCCTACGACATGAAGTTAGAGCTCTATTACCTTGAGATAAAGAACAGGGGTCATTACGGAGAATTTGGGCTCTGGAATTCTGTATGCTGTGTGATTCCATTTACTAAGGTCCTGTCATGAACTCTGCCGAATTTCACCCCATTGCTTTAACTTCAAATTCTGGCCCCTAAATAATAACAGGAAAGAAAAGAAACCTAAAAATAACTTTGTAGGTTTAAAAAAATTTTACCCAGTGATTGCTCTTTCTTATGAATTTTTCTTAAATTGTTGACTTTTAGCTAGTAAACTATATTTTACTTTTTTAAATAGTTTAATTGTGGTAGGGGCTGGGGTGAGGTATATGAAATTACCAGGCACCTATTTCTAAGTCTTAAAGACTATTATGAAGACAGAAACCTGTGTATCAGCAAACTTTAAAAAAGTAAACATGGAATGCTGCCAGTGTCTTTTAAGGCCCTTCTTAATCACAGCCATCTCCCTCCCCCTGGAGGTAAAAATCTTACTTTTGTTAATTTTTTTTTCTTTTCTTTGTAATTCCATCACAAATGATGTGTCCCTAAACAATATATCAATATTTAAAGTTTTTCTTCTGTTTTTGAACTTTGATATTAATAGAAATCTAATGTGTGGATTGTTCTGCGATGTGCTTTTGATAACATTCTGTTTTGACATCTATCCAAGATGGTGAGTGTTATAGCAGCTGTGTTAAATGTTATATGAAAATATCACAATTTCTTTTATTGTTGACCCATATGGTGGGCAAGATAAGGGCCCCCAAAGATGTTCATGCCCTGACTCCTGAAACCTGTGAATTTACTTCACATGGCAAAAGGGATTTTGCAGATGTGACTAAGGTAAGAATATTAAGAGAGGAACATCAGACTGAGTTAAGAGGGAAGCGGGAGTGTCAGGGTCAGAGAGAGGCTGGAAGATGCTACACTGCTGGCTTTAAAGACAGTGGAGGAGGCCGCAAGCTAAGGACCACAGCAGCCTCTAGAAGCTTGGAAAAGGCAAGGAACATTCTCCCCTAGAGCCTGGAGGCCTGCAGCTGAGCTGACCCCTTGATCTTAACCCTGTAAGACCCATTTTCAGACTTCTGGCCTACAGAGCTGTAAGTTAAGTTTATGTTGTTCTAAGCCATAAAATTTGTGGGGGTTTTTTTGTTACAGCAGCAATAAGAAATAATCTATATTTAGTTGTTTCTAGATTATCTAAAAACAATGCTACACAAACATTTTTGTTCATCTCTCCATATATATGAGTTTCTCCAGATTATATGCTTAGCAGTATAATTGCTATAAGTATATGTTCAGTTTTACTAGAGAATGGCAGGCTTATTTACAAAATAAGTTGTGCCAATTTACAATCCTAACAGCAGTGGATGGGAGTTACTGCTAAGACATATCCTCACTGATATTTGATATTAACATAGGTTTTAGTTTTTGCCAATCTAGTAAAAATGAAAGGGTATCTTTTAATTGCACTAATGAAGTACAATGTTCTTATGCTTTATAAGACATTTGTATTTCTTGTGTGAAATATCTGTTCATGTCTTTCGTTCATTTTTCTATTGGGTTCCTTTTCATATCGACATCAGGAATCAATACTGCTTTTCCCCATTCTATTATGTTCTTCTGGAACTCCACTCAGATATATTAGACCTTCTCACTCTGTTCCCCATGTCCTTAAGCTCTCTTGAATATGTACTATCTGTTATCTCTCTGCGCGTCATTCTGACTCATTTATTTTCCATTCACTTATTTATTCAACATATTTATTGAGGGTCTCACATAACGCTTGTACTGTTTTAAGTGCTGGAAATATAGAAATAGAAGAAAAAAGACACAGACAAAAATCTCTGCCCTCCAGGATTTCTCTCATGGGGGAGGGAAAAAAATGAATGAGCAAAGTATAGTCTGTTAGGTGGTAGGTGACAAAGTGATATGGAAGAAAACTGGAGAATGGAGACAGGTATTGCAGAATTGGGGCTGCTACTATTTAAAAAAGAATAGTTATAGAAGGTCCCACTGAACTTTTGGTAAAATTTGAAGGAAAGAAAGGAGCAAGCCATGCTTTTTGGAGGTGTGGGGAAAGCATTCCAGGAATTGGGGATACTAAATGTGAGGCCCTAAGGCAGTAAGTTGGCCCAGTATTTTTGAGGAACAAAAAAGAGGGTAGGTGGTAGGGGGAAAAAAAAAAGAATTAAGAGACCATTATAAGATTTTGGCTTTTACCAAGTTTGGTGTTTTCTCACACCAACCAACTCGGTGCCCCATTCAATTCTGATACCATTTGGAGTTTGAGCAGATCCCACAGACTAAAGGCTCAGTCCCACAGGACTCCTTAGATGCCTGTCCCAAGCCCCAGGCCACCTGCACTTGTCCGGCTGGCCATAAATCAGGGCTTCCCATGACTACCTTTTCAGGTTTGATCATTTGCTAGAATGGCCTACAGAACCCAGAAAAACACTTTACTAATGTTTACTGGTGACTGTAAAAGATACAATTCCTGAGCAGCCAAACAGAAGAGATTCCTTGCCACTGGGAGACGCAGGTGCAGAGCTTCCAAGCCACGCCTCCCAGGCTCCCTCCCAGCCAGCCAATGTGCCCACCAGCCCAGAAGTTCATCAAACCTCCTGGTTTTAAGAGCTTTCACAGAGCTCCCCATCCTGAAGGTCAGTGGGGAAGGCTAAAAGTTCCAGTCCTCTAATGACGTGGTCGTTCCAGGGACCAGTCCCATCCTGAAGCTATCTAGGGGTTCCCATCTAAGTCACAACGTTAACATAAACTTGGGTGTGACTGAAAAGGGCTTGTTATGAAAAAAACAAAAGGCACTCCTATTACTCGGGGAATTCTAAGGGTTTTAGGAGCTCTGTGCCAGGACCAGGTGACACAGACTAAATATATTGTCATATTATACCTTACTGAGTGAGACACGAAGCCCCTGGAGTTTCAATCAGACAGTAAAAGGAATAGGGAGCACAAGGTGAAGAACATGCAGGGGTTTTCTCTTTTATATATTGTATGATAAGGGAAGGTCACAACTTTAGATAAATGGCAAGTCAAATAAAGTGACACTTCATAGAAACCTATGAAACCTATGAAAGTGAGCCAGTGAAACCACACGAATAGATGAGAAGAGTGTGTGAGGCGTCCAGAGGCCTCCAGGCAAGAACATGCTTCCGTGTTTCAGGAACAGGGAGGTCAGCGTGGCTGCAGCATAAGCCTAAGGGGGAGAAGATTGGCGGAGCAGATTTGAGGGAAAAGATCAGCTATTTGGTTCCAGGTCCATCAAGTCTGCGATACCTAGTAATCATCCAGGTGAAGATGTTGAAAAGTAGCTGGATATAAGATCTTGAGCCGAGACTCCTAGTTTGGAGATTCTGAGAGTCAGTTATATAGATGGTATTTAAAACCAAGAGACTAAATGAGAACCAAGATAGAGAGAGGAAAGAATACTGCACTTGAACTCTGAGGTTCAAGTTATTAGAGGTCAAGGGCAGAGGAGGAACAAGCAAAGGATACTGAGAAAGACTGGCCTGGAAGACAGGAAGGAAATCAGAATACAGTATCCTAGAAGCCAAAAGAAAAACAGTATTTCACAGAGAGTGAGTGTTGAGCGGTGAAAAAATCCTGCTGATAGGTAAAAGCAAAGAATGACAAACTACTGGCTTTAGCAACAAGGAGGACATTTGTGACCTTGACAGGAGCAGCATCAGAGGCATGGGAGGGGTAAAAGTCCAACTGGAATGGGCTGCAGAGAGGTCTAGAATAGGAGGGGCAAAGACAACTCTGTTGAGGGTACTTTATTCTATAGAGGGGAACAGAAAAATGGAGCAGAGTCAGAGAGATGGGTGGGTCAAGAGAGAACTTTTAAAATGGTAGCATGAACAGCATGTTTTATGATGACAGTAGCAGTCCATTTAGACAAGGAAAAACTAATGACCCAGGGGAGAAAGGGCGGATTTGCTCAAGCCAGGTCCTTGAATGAGAAAGGAGGACTGGCCTTTGATAAGAGTATGAACAGTTCATCCATGGGAATCGACAAAAGTCAAGATGTGGGTGCAGAGACTAGCAGGTCACAGACATGGGCTGCTCTGGTTTGTCCAACTTTGTTAGTGAAGTATGAAGCTAAGAGTGAGGGTGAAGGAGGCATTGGAGGATTAAGTAGAAAGGAAAAAACAAAATAGTTGTAATTCCATAATCATTTCTTCCGCTAGATATAATCAGCTACTTAATCCAATCACTGAGTTTTTAATTTCATTTCTAGAACTTCTATTTCATTGTTTTAATCTCTGAGGTCATTCTTTAATTTGGTCCTTTGTTCCATTTTCACATTTTCAAGTTTCTCTCTCTCTCTTTATTTAAACACATTAAACATAATTTTAAATTATGTCTAATATTTTCAGAATCTAGTCATTACAGATCCACTTTTTAGTGTATATTTCTAATACCTCATTCACAGTGCCTTGTGTGTTTTGTGATTTTTGACTGTTAGCTACTATTCTTCCTGGCACTTTATCTTCAAGAATTCTTTAGGGCCTGGGTTGAAAATAAATTCCACTAGAGGGGATGGATATTTGCTTTTACCAGTAAGCTGGGGGCAAACCAACCCAGGGACTGCTATAAATTAAATTTCCATTTGAAGCCTTTCCCTGCACAGATGGCCTGAATATGGCCTGCAAACCTGTATAAGAGTGGCTCCCGGCTACAAATTCTCAAGGGAATTTTTCCTCCCTCCTCTCTCAAGTTTCTTTCCTTTCCCCTGACCCACAGTGGGATTCGTTTCTCATTTACCCTTAAATTGAGGGGATATGTAGCTCTTCAGAGTCCAAGTTTTATGGTGAGGTCTCCTTTTAGTTTGCTCTCCCTGGGCAGACACAGGCTTTATATCTTGTCCATTTCATCCCATGCAGCTGTTAGAGCAGAAGCTCAAGGTCTTCAGGGTTTGGGAAAATCCCCAGGGTAATGGACTGGAACAGTCCATTTTGAGGGGGAGTGGGGGGCCTCTGTGTATTCCTGTGTTTCATGCCACCTCAGAAATGTATGTACAACGGTTTAAAAATACATCCAACTGAAACTACTTGTTTACAGGAAGACTAACTAGTTACATCACTATGCACTATGTCTTTAGTTCCTAGTTCTCTGCCATACTACAAAGCGTATTTGCATTTCATCAAAAGAAAATGGGGCATGAGATATATACAAATGCCTATCATTTTATATGCTCAAAAATAATTGTATGCTTTTTTTGCAAGGAGATATATTCATCTCCTTAATGATTTCTTGTTAAGCAGTATTTTTCAAAAAATCTACTTCTTCCCTTTATGCTTTACCACTTTGCTTCCAATTTACTATGTGGAAGAGAAGTGAAAGAACTATCCTAGTTCCCCTTTTTCATTTTCCTGTGTCTCCCTGTGCTTTATTTCTATACGACAAAGAAGAAACACACTACTGTACAGACCAGAAAGGGACCCACTGGGGTTCCAGCTTCATCTTTTCACTGAGTTAACAAGTGTGATACTAGTCATGTAAGCTCTTTGAACTTCAGTTACCTCAAGAGCCCCACTTCTGAGAGATATATCAAATAAAATGAGAATATATACTGAAACGTGTTACAGATTAAAGTACTATCTGAAATATGATCAAACACTGTATGAGAAAGTACCACGGGAAACAAAAACCAATGTGTTCACTTTTGAGGACTGTTTGGCACAATGCCACCTTGAATACGCACAAATCTTTAACTGCTAAACTATATTCATTGGGATAGATGCAATGTGATAAAATTTAAAAGTACAGGTGCAATAAAGTTTAAGATACAGATGCAGTTATAAAACACTGATACACATAATTAGTGGCAAGGGAAGAAACCAAAAAAATCAAACTCCTAGGTTGGTGACAAAGTATACAATTACTACGCTATATAAAAACAGAAAAATCTCATTTTTGAAAAATATCTAAATGTAAATTCCACTCAAAATCAAACATCCAACTAGTAATTAGGAAATAATTTTACCAGAATTTTCTTTTCATAAGTCTGGTAGGTATGCCCACATTTCCACTTGTTTTCCAAGTGGGGCTGAAAAGGCTAACTGCATTACAGTTACCGCCAAGGCTCTTTTAAAATGCTGATTCCTGGGTCACATCCAGAGCTCGTAAATCAGGATATCTGGTAGTGGGGGCCAGAGAATCTGAATTTTTAACATGTTCCTCAAAACCCAAACTGAATTTGTCTTTTATCAAATCATTCATTAAAACACGATCAAACATGGACACAAATAAATCTCATTCTGCGATTTAGTGCAGAACACCATAACGCCATGAAAAGTGTCTGAATAAAGTCAGAAAGGCATGTTTACACGGTTACACTCATAGTTACCTCCTATTTTCCTTAGCAATCCGCATTAATTGCGGCAAATCACATCTCCCCTGGCTATCAGGCCACCTGAGGCACCTTTTCCCTCGCTCAGCCGTGTTGCCACGATGCAGCAGGTGCAGACAAACAGCAGCACCTGGCAGCTGTTGATTCAAATTCGACTGTGTAACAACCAAACACATCTCTTAAGGGCAAAGAGCCGGTCACTAACCTTCCGATTCCCAACATGTTGACAGCACCCGTGTAAGCTTCGCAAACACAAGTCCCACACTCAACTCTTTACTCCCTGGCCGTCACCTCCCTGCTGAGTCCCGCAGGCTGCCCCGGACCCCAGCCTCGCACGTGGGCACACCTGGACGCCACTCGGTAGGCAGTACCAGTGGGTAAAACACAGGGTGACAGCCGAGGGACCCTCCGGTTCGAAAGTTCAGGAAGGGAAGTTCGGTCCTCTCCGGGTCTGACGGGCTCCGCAGGCCGCGGGTCTATCCCCGA